CCCTTGAACTTAGAATTTTTATGAAAAAAAATGTTGTCTTTTTTTAAATAACTTCTTTATTTCCTAATGTATCTACTTCAAACTTCATTTATATGTTTCTTATTATCACTCAACATTTTTGAGAAGGTTAAATACTCTAGCAAGACTATTTCCTGAATTATGTCCCCCTTGAACTTAGACTTTTTTCGAGAAATTGGTATTTTTAACTCCAACTTCTTCATTCCTTATAGGATTTACTTTAAAATCCCACATTGTAATAATAAGACAAGGTTGTATAAACATAATTTCCTTACTAGGCAGGGAAACTTAACACATTACTGTGAAATAGACAAACTTAGAACTCAAAATTAACACATTACTGTGAAATAGACAAACTTAGAACTCCAAAGATTTAAGTTCATTCATGTCATTCATTCACTGGTAAAATTGAAAATTTTAATCAGAATGTTGCTGGGGTTCTAACCGGTAGGGGACTTATGGATTGCTTGCAATACTATGATAATTGCTTGTTTATTTCTGAAATGACAATCTTTTTTTCAGATATCTATCATTTCTTTCATACAAATAATTCATTATCAGCTGACTGGACAAATGGAAATCCACCAAGTAGTAAAATGCGCCGTACATTTTCATTTATATTTTATGTGCCTTACTTTATCATTACTGGAAAATGCCCCGATATTAATATTTTTAGCGGTTATTCTAGCCAGAATGGAATGAAAATGCTTAGATGACGACAAATTATTTATCATTACAAGTTTTTTAAGTCAGTGGTTTCAGTTAATATACATACTGTTATGGATAGACATGTTAACATTTTAAGTTTGACTTCAGTCACAAAGAAGATATGTGGTTGTTGCAATATCAATATATAGTGTCATTAAAAAAACTGGCAGTTTTGTTAAGAACAATTCGACCAACTTAACTTGTTCCCATACATAGTTTATTCATTCCTTTATAGAAAGTGAGATATAATAATTTCATAGATTTTAATGAATTTATTTGATTAAAATATTTTACTCAAGGATGAGAATAGTATATCTTAAAACTAATTTATTTCAGTTGATAAAGTGGTGGTCACATGGAAATGGAATTCTTATAAATATTAAAGCATGATATGTACATTATACTTTTTACTTTGTTATCATAAATGTTTCGATTATATAATCGATGATTGATCGAAAAGGGTTGTTCGATTATTTTCGATGATCGATTATGATTTTTGTCCGATTAAGAAACCCTAATTTTAACAGTGTGATGAGATTTTACCTTTCCTTTACTTGAATTCTGCTCTGTCATTTCCGTGATTTGTGTGGTTGTTTATCAACTATATATCTTACAGTAAACAGTATAAGTATTCAATGATTCGAGTTAAAGAAACATTGAAATATCGTTCAGAACTTTGTGAACATGATCCGGGTCGCGAAATAACCTGACAATTGAGCGTAGATACTCAACTGACCAAAGAATAACAATAATAACGATCAGATATGTAGAAATATACCTGAACTATTTTTCCATTACAATAGATGCAGAAAGTATACACTAGAAGTGTCACTAGAACACAAAGATGTGTATTATTTACATTTTCTAGCTGACGGATTAAGCGGAAATAAGTTCCATATCCGGCCAAATTCCGAGAAAGTGCTGTAATGCAACGAAACTACCATAATCATATTTTGGAAAAAGAGTGACTATCATATAAAAATCTGCCGATATTTTATGTCTTTATTATTCTATAAAAGAATAATAACATTTTAGCGGATCCTTGACGGATCTATTTTGTCTGACGGCGTATGAGCCATGACTGTGCTATGTTTAGCGGAACGCTGTGATTGGTTAACTAATTCCGTTGTCGAATCTTATTGGATAAGAGTACTTTTGAATGTTTTAGCGGCGGGCAAATTTCATTTCGGAATTAACACGCCAAAGTCTATAAATACAGACGCTCAATTCAGTTGAGCAGCTTTCCAACCGTGAAACACGGACTAACAAGGTTATTATTTGAACAGTAGCTCAACCCTAACTAAAAATCCGCCAAACAACGGAAATCCGTCAAAACTTGAACATTCCGCTAAATAAATATTCCGCTAGAAGACTTTAACTGTAATTTACGCGAAATACGTTCATATAACCCCTTCTTTTACAACTTTACATTGACGAACTCATTAGATCTACAATAACTATACCAAGGGCAATAATTTACATGTTTTTACAGTATTTAATTATCCTGTTTTATGCATTTATTTAACAGAAGATCTTAATAAATAAAATTAACTGTACTTGAGCGTTTTGGTATTTTCAAGTGTTTATATTCTTTTTCATTGATTAAGTTTTATGGTAAATTACCGTACCATTTAACTTCAGTAGCCTTAAAAGTGATCCTGACAAAATCATTTCAACAGTGACAACGGTAACAATACTATTAGTTATAAAGATCGTTGACAGGTTATATGGCCCTATATAAACGGCTATTTGTAAATATAACCCGAGCCGTTAGGCGAGGGTTATATTGCAAACAGCCGTTTATATACGGCCATATAACCTGTCCACAATCTTTATAACGAATCTATAATACAGCAAGCATCATTTTGAGGGAAAAAAATAAGATTTTTTTCATGAATCAACAGCAGCTGTGTATATAAAACTATATAAACGTCACGATTATCCAATGAAAAATGACGTTACAAACGTGCAGTATTATAATGTATGTATATATGTATGTTATTACATTTGCATATGTAAACGAAACAGTGAAGTTTAGAGAAGAAGCCGTACATTACCACGATCAAACCGGCGGAAAATTCTCTCGCTTTGAATCTCAGGTGACGCCTATTTCAGAAGTACGGGAAATAAACTCCTGTGAGCCAGGAAAATTGTGGAGAAGGTTATTATATGTACCTTTACACACTAGATCATCACGAATTTCAGATGGGAAAACGAAAACTTACTTTTCGGCTGCATCCGCCATTTTGTTTGTTTGGGTTACGAACAGCGTGATTCTCCCCCTTGACTTACTGCATTATGGCAAAGTTCAGTTGTAGAGAAACAAACAAAATCTACTTCTGTTCCTACTATTTAGTATTGTGTTAATGCGGTGGCATAACATTTTTTTCACAAATGCAATCTTGTTTCCACTTGCAATTATTATAGACATCTTGTTTAATCTCTGTATAATCTCTTTTTATTTATTTCAGATGGCAACATTCAACAATGAAAATATTTTATCTTCTGAGTGTTATATGCACATCTTTTTCTTTTCTTCCTCTGTTGAAAATTCTGGTTACTATAGCAACAAATAGCCTGAATTTCTGATTTAAATTTTTCAGCTTTTTCACTATAAGTTCTTTATTTCTTAAGGTGTTTACTACAAACTTAAAATATAAGTTTCTGGTCATCAACCACATCATATGTGACAAGGTTTACAACTCTAGCACAAAAATTATCAGTATAACCTCCCTTGAACTTAGAATTTTTATGAAAAAAAATGTTGTCTTTTTTAAATAACTTCTTTATTTCCTAATGTATCTACTTTAAACTTCATTTAATTGTCTCTTATTATCACTCAACATTTTTGAGAAGGTTAAATACTCTAGCAGGACTATTTCCAGAATTATGTCCCCCTTGAACTTAGACTTTTTTCGAGAAATTGGTATTTTTAACTCCAACTTCTTCATTCCTTATAGGATTTACTTTAAAATCCCACATCGTAATAATATGACAAGGTTGTATAAACATAATTTCCTTACTAGGCAGTGAAATAGACAAACTTAGAACTCAAAATTAACACATTACTGTGAAATAGACAAACTTAGAACTCAAAAGATTTAAGTTCATTCATGTCATTCATTCACTGGTAAAATTGAAAATTTTAATCAGAATGTTGCTGGGGTTCTAACCGGTAGGGGACTTATGGATTGCTTGCAATACTATGATAATTGCTTGTTTATTTCTGAAATGACAATCTTTTTTTCAGATATCTATCATTTCTTACATACAAATAATTCATTATCAGCTGACTGGACAAATGGAAATCCACCAAGTAGAAAAATGCGCCGTACATTTTCATTTATATTTTATGTGCCGTACGTTATCATTACTGGAAAATGCCCCGATATTAATATTTTTAGCGGTTATTCTAGCCAGAATGGGAATGAATGCTTAGATGACGACAAATTATTTATTACAAGTTTTTTAAGTCAGTGGTTTCAGTTAATATACATACTATTAGTTATAAAGATCGTTGACAGGTTATATGGCCCTATATAAACGGCTATTTGTAAATATAACCCGAGCCGTTAGGCGAGGGTTATATTGCAAACAGCCGTTTATATACGGCAATATAACCTGTCAACAATCTTTATAACGAATTTATAATACAGCAAGCATCATTTTGAGGGAAAAAAATAAGATTTTTTTCATGAATCGACAGCAGCCGTGTATATAAAACTATATAAACGTCACGATTATCCAATGAAAAATGACGTTACAAACGTGCAGTATTATAATGTATGTATATATGTATGTTATTACATTGTATATGTAAACGAAACAGTGAAGTTTAGAGAAGAAGCCGTACATTACAACGATCAAACCGGCGGAAAATTCTCTCGCTTTGAATCTCAGGTGACGCCTATTTCAGAAGTACGGGAAATAAACTCCTGTGAGCCAGGAAAATTGTGGAGAAGGTTATTATAATGTACCTTTACACACTAGATCATCACGAATTTCAGAGAGGAAAACGAAAACTTACTTTTTCGGCTGCATCCGCCATTTTGTTCGTTTGGGTTACGAACGGCGTGATTCTCCCCCTTGACTTACTGCATTATGGCAAAGTTCAGTTGTAGAGAAACAAACAAAATCTACTTCTGTTCCTACTAATTAGTGTTGTGTTAATGCGGTGGCATAACATTTTTTTCACAAATGCAATCTTGTTTCCACTTGCAATTATCATAGCCATCTTGTTTAATCTTTGTATAATCTCTTTTTATTTTTTTCAGATGGCAACATTCAACAATGAAAATATTTTATCTTCTGAGTGTTATACAGTTGATTAAGCAATGGCTTCATACAGCCCTAAGCTGTTAGAAAAGAAATACAATAACTGGGTTAAAGCCCAGTTGGCTGTCCTGTTTACTAAAGAAGGTATTGAACCTTTTGTTTGCAATGAAATTCAACAATTTCAACAGAAATGCTTAGATGATATATGTTACAGCAATGGATTATTTAGTGGGACTTTGTGTTCAATGTGCTGTACAGAAAATGTTATAAAATGTCCAACAAATAGAATATGTAATGTTGGACGTGGAAGATGCAGTTATCATAGAAATGCTGCAACAAGGTATAATCCTGCCGGCTGCCCTAACAAGATATGTCATAATTTTACAACTGAGATACAGAATGTACATAGGTACTTTGGTCCATCGTACAAAAACACTGATGCTACCAAGTGGTGCAGTAATTCCTGGGAGATAGCTAAATGTTTCATGCCCCCAGATGGATATAAAGATGTAGCTAGTGCACAAGAAACAGACTTCAATGGCATCATCAGTGTTATCATTAATCACAAAGACTTTCAGTTGAAAGTACACGAAAACCTAGGCAATAAGAAAAACATTTTTGAACAGGTAAGTAAAGTCAAATATGTTTTATTTGCATATAAATTGTGATGGAAAAAAGAGGGCATAAGAAATAAGTTCAGGATATATAAAAGGATGATTGTTTTGAATATGCAATATATCACACTGAGAAGTAAGAAAATTGAATGGAAAATGTTCTCTCTTCGATGTGCGATATATAGCTTATTCTGATTCACATGAAAAAATTATATTAAAACAGCAATTTTCAAATGTTTTAAAATGAAACACGATCAACAGTTGCACATAAAGAAAATGCTACGCTGGGCAATTAATTAATTACTGAAGTAAGTTTAAAAAATGCAACAATTTATGTAAATTTACAATTTACAAAGTAGTGAATTTATGATTTTGATAAATGATAATTGTAATGTAATAATAATGTATTTTGATAGGAAAATTTGTACATGTATAATTATGAGCTTAATAAAGACCCACTTTGACATGCAATCTGTAAATTTGCATTTATTGTACAACTAGCTCATTAATTTTTCATGAGGTTATATATTGAAATGCTGTATTGTATTTGTTAACAGCTTATCGTGTGTCACAGGAATGAACCCGTCTTTTCATTTTATTTGTTTTAGGCAAGAGACATTGGTAGGACTGTAAGACATTCATCAGAATTAGAGGTAGAGGACAAAGACCTTCAGCAATACTTTAAAGTATTACAACAACTACTTTCTGATCCTTTATATTTAGCTGGAGACACACATGCACAAAGTGCAAAACAGAAAATCATAGATGTAAGTAAGCAGCTCACCTGAGCAGATTCTTTTTGTTTCATCAAACTTTATTAAAAGTTTGTTATTATGACATCTTAAAAACTAAAATCATGGGTCGTCTGAGCAAATCAAAGTAGTCAGATCAACAGAAAACCATATTAACTCTCTTGAAAACTACATTTTGAGCTTTTCATTTAAATCTGCTGAAAATGTCTGTCTTGATTCTGAATTTTGAATGTTAAGCAGAAGAAAGTCTTGATTGTCATACTAATATTATATAAACATGTATCTATATTGACACTATATTAAACTGAGATGAAAGGGTAACATAATTATTTTCACTAAGGTGAACAATAAAGGGCAATTATGGCCCTCTTGTCAGTTGGCTCACCTGACCATGTTTTGCCTAATGTGTCTTATCCAAAATAAAAACGTAAATGTTTACCTAATTTCACAAAAGTTTATATGTAAACTGTTCTGACCTGATGCATATACATCAGTAAAGGTCAGGAAGATTTTAAGAATTAGATATTTAACCATTCCCGTTAAAGAATTTCAAAGCCAAGAGCTTAGGTATTTGGTTTTTGACTTTGCTTACAGTCTGCTACTGAGGCTATTCAATTTGGAAACTGTATGTCCGATACAGTTAGATCTTTCTCAAGTATATAGAAAATTCAGAATTCTAAAATCTGGAAAGTTCTGACACCCCACAATTTTCTTTATCTTCTGAATTTCCATTTTTGTGCCCCCACTTTAGTGGTGGGCATTTAGTATTACCCTTGTCCGTTCTTCCTTCCGTCTGTCTGTCCGTTCTCTTTTGTGTCACACGTAATTCAAAAAGTATTTGACCTAGAGTCATGAAACTTTACAGGAATGTTGATCAGCATGTGTAGTTGTGCACTTGGGTATTTTTGTCTGGATATTTTTAATATTTTTAGATTTATTGCCCTTGACTTAGTAAAATTTTGCAATGTTCAACTTGTGTCGCATGTAACTCAAAAAAGTATTTGACCTAGAGTCATGAAACTTGACAGGAGTGTTGATCAGCCTGTGTAGTTGTGTACCTGGGTATTTTTGTCTGGATATTTGTAGTATTTTCAGAGTTATTGCCCTTGACTTAGTAAAATTTTGCAATTTTCAACTTGTGTTGCATGTAACTCAAAAAGTATTTGACCTAGAGTCATTAAACTGTACAGGAATGTTGATCAGCATATGTAGTTGTGCACCTGGGTATTTTCGTCTGGGTATTTTTAGTATTTTTAGCTCACCTGAGCATATGCTCAGGGTGAGCTATTAGGATCACTCTTCGTCCGTCGTCTGTCGTCCGTCGTACGTCGTCCGTTGTCCGTTCACACTTTTCAAACGACACTTCCTCAAAAACCATAAGGCAGATCATAATGAAACTTCACAGGGAGGTTCCTTGTGTGAAGCCTTAACAAAGTTGTTCAAAGAATTCCATTCCATGCAGAACTCTGGTTGCCATGGCAACCAAAAGAAAAAACTTTAAACATCTTCTTCTAGAAAACCCAAAGAGCTAGAGCTTAGATATTTGGCATGAAACATCTTCTAGTGAGTGTCTACCAAGATTGTTCAAATAAAAGCCCTGGGGTCAAAATTGGCCCCGCCCCAGGGGGTCATTGATTTTCCCTATATGCATATTGTAAAAACTTAAAAAAATCTTCTTTTAAAGAACCCAAAGAGCTAGACCTAAGATGTTAAGCATGAAACATCTTCTAATGAGTGTCTACCAAGTTTGTTCAAATAAAAGCCCTGGGGTCAAAATTGGCCCCGCCCCAGGGGGTCATTGATTTTCCTTATATGCATATAGTAAAAACTTTAAAAAATCTTCTTCTAAAAAACCCCAAAGAGCTAGAGCTTAGATATTTGGCATGAAACATGTTCTAATGGATGTCTACCAAGTTTGTTCAAATAAAAGCCCTGGGTTCAAAATTGGCTCCGCCCCAGGGGGTCATTGATTTTCTCTATATGCATATAGTAAAAACTAAAAAAAATTCTTTTAAAGAACCCAAAGAGCTAGAGCTAAGATATTTAGCATGAAACATGTTCTAATGGGTGTCTACCAAGATTGTTCAATTAAATTGTTCAATTAAAAGCCCTGGGGTCAAAATTGGCCCCGCCCCAGGGGGTCTTTGATTTTCCCTATATGCATATAGTAAAAACTTAAAAAATATTCTTTTAAAGAACCCAAAGAGCTAGAGCTAAGATATTTAGCATGAAACATGTTCTACTAATGGGTGTCTACCAAGTTTGTTCAAATAAAAGCCCTTGGGTTAAAATTGGCCCTGCCAGGGGGAGGGGGGGGGGGCAAAAGTCATTGTTTTTCATTATTTGTGTTAAAACTTAACATCATAAACATCTTCTAATGGGTGTCTTCCAAGTTTGTACAAATAAATTCTTTGGTTTAAACTGGCCCGCCCTGGGGGCCTATGTACAGGTGAGCGACCCCAGGCCATCAAAGAAAAGAGTCCCACTAAAGAGCTAGATGGGTGTCTTTTACTTTAAGATATTTAGCATGAAAAACATGTTCTAATGGGTGTCTATCAAGTTTGTTCAAATAGAAGCCCTGGGTTTAAAATTGGCCCCGCCCCAGGGGGTCATTGATTTTCCCTATATGCATATAGTAAAAACTTAAAAAATATTCTTTTAAAGAACCCAAAGAGCTAGAGCTAAGATATTTAGCATGAACATCTTCTAATGGGTGTCTACCAAGTTTGTTCAAATAAAAGCCCTGGGGTCAAAATTGGCCCCGCCCCAGGGGGTCATTGATTTTCCTTATGTGTGTGTAGCAAAAACTTAAAAAATCTTCTTTGAAAAAACTCAAATAGCTAGAGTTTAGATATTAAACATGAAACATCTTCTAATGAGTGTCTACAAAGTTTGTTCAAATAAAAGCCCTGGGGTCAAAATTTGCCCAGCCAGAGGGGTCATTGATTTTCCTTATATGTGTATGGCAAAAACTTAAAAATCTTCTTTAAAAAAACCCAAATAGCTATGGTTTAGATATTAAGCATATTAAACATCTTCTAGTAAGTGTCTACAAAGTTTGTTCAAATAAATACCCCGTTATTAAAACTGGCCCCGCCCCAGAGGTGTCATTGTTTTTAACTATATGTGTGTAGTGAAAACATAAAAAATCTTCTTTTAAAAAACCCAATGAGCTAGAGGTTAGATTGTTAAGCACGAAACATCTTCTTGTGGGTGTCTACCAAGTTTGTTCAAATAAAATTGGCCCTGCCAAAGGGGGGGGGGGGGCGGAGGTCATTGTTTTTCATAATATGTGTGTAGTAAAAACTTAACATCATGAAACATCTTCTATTGGGCGTCTTCCAAGTTTGTTCAAATAAAAGCCCTGGGGTTTAAACTGGCTCCGCTCCGGGGGCCTATATACAGGTGAGCGACCTCAGGGCCATCATGGCCCTCTTGTTATTTTAATTCATGGTAAATTCATATTTCTACTTATTTATATTTTTATTAAACTATGATTGCAGCTTGAGAATGACACATTGGTTATTGGTATAGATGATGTAAGGAAAGCATTAGACGATGTGGCAAGAGCAGTTCAGGATAAAATAAGAACTGAAATAGATGATCAGAAGAAGCAGTCGGAGGAGATTAAACTCGAAATGATTAAAAGAAAACAGGATGGTCTTCGGTCTCTTGAGTCTAAAACTGCTGAGGGAATGAAAACCCTTGAGAACCTTACTAGTGAGGGAGCCAAGAAAATTAAAGAAGAAAGTAACATTTCTGTGAATACCATTGAATCAAGCACAAACAAGGGATTGGATAGAATACAACAAGAAGCTGATGCTTCATTGAAAACCATTACAAGGTTAGCTGACGAGGAAGCCAAGAAAATAAAAGAAGATAGTAACAATGCAGGAAATGTTATTATATCAAGCACAAACAAGGGATTAGATAGAATACAACAAGAAGCTGATGCTTCGTTGAAAACCATTACAAGGTTAGCTGACGAGGAAGCCAAGAAAATTAAAGAAGGAAGTATAGATGATAAAGAGGAACAATACATTACGGCTAGAAAAAGTAAGTTTAGTCTCCTTGTGTGGCATTACATTGCCCAGAGCTTAGACATTTGACATGTTGCATTTCCTAATGAACCTACGCAAATTTTGCATTGAAGACTTATATGAATCTTAGATGAGTGATCAAGTGACATCTTGACCTTCTTGTTTTCCATAATTTAATAATTATGGTGTCATTTTAATTTATTATTTTTAGTCCCCTTGTGGTTTAACCGGAAGGGACTTTAGGTTTGCCCGTCATACGTCTGTCTGTCCACAAAACTGAAGCCTATGATAATACAAGTACTGAAAATATTTTCATGTAAATTAAAAAAAGGCCAGGCAGTCTGGAAATTATGAACACCTATCATTTTTCTTCCAATCTTGAAGAATTTGGTTGTTATGGCAGCAACAGACTTAAAATAAGGCAAATTTAACACTATTTGTGATAGCACTAATAATAATGAAAATATTACTAAACATGAAATATGGATAGATGACAGTATGGAGATTATGCACATTTTAAGCTTGATAAAGGGAGTATATTGAGAGCTGTTCGACTTACCCAGTGTCGGCAACTGCTTCCAGATTTCTGATAAAAGTTTTATGCTGTAAAATATATTTCACTATAACTTCTTCCTTAATTTTCTCTTATTATGGTATCTACTCCAAACTTCAAATATATGTTTCTGATCATCAAGCACATCATATGTGCTCACATATTAGGTTCACAACTTAACTACCAAAATTATCAGAATTTACCCATTGAACTTAGAATTTACATGAATAAATGTTGTTTCTAATAATTTCTTTTTTTATAGATGTTTCTACTTCAAACTTCAGAAATATGATTCTTATTATCACCTACATCAGATGTAGCAAGGTTCATAATTCTAGCACCTATATTAATAGAATTATCACTCTTGAACTTAGAATTTCATGAAATATGTGATATATGCCTGGGTTTCAATGATTATTTTCATTTTTAACTTCGAAATTAATTGATAATCATTACATTTTTATTTAGATTTTCTTCTTTTTTTTACTATAAATGGTATTTATTTGAAAATTGTAATTTTTCATGTTTGTTCCCTGTTACTTTAAATGGTATCCACTGAAATATGATAAACAAGATCAACAAGGAAAGGCGACTTTCAATGAAGACTAATAAGATTGTTCTTTGTCATCACTCACATCATGTATGACAAGGTTGATAAATTTAGCGTCTTTATTGCAAGTCATCTCCTCTTTAGAATTTTGAATGTTATATTAAATTGTTATTTTCTGGATACAACTGGGGAAGCTAAAATATTTGATTATATTTGTGTCACTCAGTCGGTCTGTCTGTCCGTCCCCTAAAACTGTTTCCTGTGATTAGGAAACTTGGAACTTTTCCAACAAATACTTAATTTTGAAAGGGGGGTCCTTGGCCATGTGGTTAAGGTCGTTAACTTCAAACCACTTGCCCCTTACCGCTGTGCGTTCTAATCCCAACAGGAACTTTTGATTCTTTCATTTAAGGAAGCTATCCAGATAGCTAACGGAACGTCTGTGGTTCTACTCAGGTGCCCGTTCGTGCCTGAAATAATGCACGGAAGGGCACCTGAGGTCTTCCTCCACCAGTAAAGCTGGGACTTATGACATAAAATGTGTCGGTGTGACGTAAAACCTAATTAAACAAACCAAATTAACATTGAATGTCAAAGTCATTAATTAGTCAAGGTCAAGTTTAGTCAGGTCTCCTTAAAAAGTCTTGTCCAAAAGTTTGTGTCAAGGTCAAGGCCACAAAAATAGAATAGTTCAATAAAACTTGGTGTGTAGCAAGTGTATGTGACGACATTGCTTGGGATTGCTTTAGATCTGGTCATTATTACCAGTCAATTACTAGATTTAGCAGGAATGAGAAATTTTAACTTGTTCCATAACATTCATATTTGTAAACTTTTTAGCTCCAAAGGATCAAGAAGATCACTGTTAATAAGAACAAAAATTGGTTTAAGGTTGATATGTTGAGTGAGGAGTACCTCAAGCTTATGTAAAGACATTGCTTTGGATTAATTTAGCCCCTCCCCCTTGAGATGCTTGGCCTATATATTTTGTTTATTTCTTTTGTTTCTTCATTATTTATCATTTACACTGCACAAAGTAACATTTATTATACCCCAAAAAACGAAGTTTGGGGGGTATATAGGAGTCACCCGGTGGTTGGTCAGTCGGTTGGTTGGGCGGTCTTTCGGTCCAGAGGTCCATTGCATTTTCCTTGTCTGGAGCATAACTTGAAGACTAATGGTTGGAATTCAATATAACTACACACAATGGTCAAGCATATTAAGAGGAAGTGCAGTGCACAAGAACCATAACTCCATCTTGACTTATTGCAGAGTTATTGCCTTTTGTTACTTATCCTTGCCCGGCATAACTTGAAAACTACTGGTTGGAATTCAAAACAACTTCATACACTTGTCAAACACAATAAGGGGAAGTGCAGTGCACAAGAACTATAACTCTATCTAAAGTAATTACAGAGTTATTGCCCTTTGTTACTTTTCCATTGCTTTCTTTTGTCCGGACCATAACTTGAAGACTAATTGTTGGAATTCAATATAACTACATACAATGATCAAGCACATTGAGAGGAAGTGCAGTGCACAAGAACCATAACTCTATCTTGACTAATTACAGAGTTATTGCCCTTTGTTTCTTTTCCATTGCTTTCTTTTGTCCGGACCATAACTTGAAGACTAATTGTTGGAATTCAATATAACTACATACAATGGTCAAGCACATTGAGAGGAAGTGCAGTGCACAAGAACCATAACTCTATCTTGACTAATTACAAAGTTATTGCCCTTTGTTACTTTTCCATTGCTTTCTTTTGTCCGGACCATAACTTGAAGACTAATTGTTGGAATTCAATATAACTACATACAATGATCAAGCACATTGAGAGGAAGTGCAGTGCACAAGAACCATAACTCTATCTTGACTAATTACAGAGTTATTGCCCTTTGTTTCTTTTCCTTGTCCGGCATAACTTGAAAACTACTGGTTGGAATTCAACACAACTTCAAACAATTGTCAAACACAATAAGGGGAAGTGCAGTGCACAAGAACCATAACTCTATCTAAAGTAATTACAGAGTTATTGCCCTTTGTTACTTTTCCATTGCTTACTTTTGTCCGGACCATAACTTGAAGACTTATTGTTGGAATTCAATATAACTACATACAATGGTCAAGCACATTGAGAGGAAGTGCAGTGCACAAGAACCATAACTCTATCTTGACTAATTACAGAGTTATTGCCCTTTGTTTCTTTTCCTTGTCTGGGGCATAACTTGAAAACTACTGGATGGAATTCAAAGCAACTTCATACAATTGTCAAACACAATAAGGGAAAGTGCAGTGCATAAGAACCATAACTCTATCTAAAGTAATTACAGAGTTATTGCCCTTTGTTACTTTTCCATTGCTTTCTTTTGTCCGGACCATAACTTTCAGACTAATTGTTGGAATTCATTATAACTTGATACAATGGTCAAGCACATTGAGAGGAAGTGCAGTGCACAAGAGCCATAACTCCATTTTGACTTATTACAGAGTTATTGCCCTTTGTTACTTTTCCTTGTCCAGAGCATGGCTTGAAAACTACTAGTTGGAATTCAAAACAACTTCAGACAGAGGTCAAGCACAATAAGGGGAAGTGCAATGCACAAGAACTATAACTCCATCTTGACTAATTACAGAGTTATTGCCCTTTGTTACTTTTCCATTGCTTTTTTGTCCGGGGCATAATTTGAAGACTAATAAATGGAATTCAATATAACTTCATACAATGGTCGAGCACATTGAGAGGAAGTGCAGTGCACAAGAACCATAACTTCATCTTGACTAATTACAGAGTTATTGCCCTTAGTTACTTTTTCTTGTCCAGAGCGTAATTTGAAAACTACTGTTTGAAATTCAATACAACTTCATACAGTTGTCAAGGACATTAAAAGGAATTGCAGTGCACAAGAGCCATAACTCCATTTTGACAAAATACAGAGTTACTGCCCTTTGATACTTTTCCTTGTCTGGAGCATAACTGAAAAACATACTGGTTGGAATTCAAAACAACTTCATACAATGGTCAAGCACAATAAGAGGAAGTGCAGTGCAAAAGAACTATAACTCCATCTTCAATATTTATAGAGTTATTGCCCTTTGTTTCTTTTCCTTGTCTTTCTGGACTTATTACAGAGTAATTCAATAAAACTTCATCAATGGCCAACCACATTGAAAGAAAATGCAACATACAAGAACCACAACTATCTTTAATTGCCCACAACCTTTACTCTATATTTCAATTCTTTTACAAGGTATTCTGTTACTAGTAACATCCTCATTTCTGAAGCAGTCTTGTGGGGGTATTAATCACATTAAGTGATAGTTCTAGTTTTGCTTGTATTTGTATTCAAGGTAGAACAGAACTTTCTACAATGGTGATAATTGAAAATCTTTTCTTCGTGGCATTTTCATGTTCCTTGCTACAAAAATAAAGTACTATTTAAAGGACTTTTTTGACACCAAGTAGTTTATATATATTTGAATAGTAATGATGTGTATATTATCTCCATTTCAGAACTTAAAGATGAACTAATTAAATGGTACAAAACCAATCAGAGTACTGTCCCACTTTCACCACTGACAGATGATTTAGATACTCCGCTAGCTGGGTTTTACGTCATGCCAGACATCGATGTACATACAAACATATTTAGCCAAGAGAGGGAAACAACTAGAGTCAAGTCATTAGAAGAGGTCTTTACATCTGATGGAAGAGTTCAAAGGGAAATATATTTGTCAGCTGATGCTGGGTTTGGAAAAACTGCATTTTCAAAATATCTGGCCATAACATGGTGTGAAGCTCATCAAAAAGATCAAAACTTCAAATATTTTAAAGAAGAAGAACTTAAGGCCTTATATGGCTTTGAGTTTATATTCCTGGTGTTATTAAGGGATTCAGTTCAAGTCTGTAACATTGACGACATGATCGAACAACAAATTATAAAATGTCTTCCTTGTTCGTCATCATTACCAAAAGACCTTTTAAAAGAAATTTTTAGTCGTGAAAAATGCTTAGTTATTTTGGATGGGCTAGATGAATGGACTCATCCTGACAATGCTTGTACAAGATCACATGAAAATCTTCCTCACCGATACGCACGAGAAAATTGTGTAGTCTTAACAACAACCCGGCCATGGAAGCTTGGAGTTTCAAACTTGAAGACAAGTCAAATGGACAGGACAATAGAGTTAGCTAAATTAAATAACACGTCAGTAATGACATTACAGTTAAATGCTATTCGGATGATGAAAAAGGGCATTTGTGAAGATGAATTGAAGAAACAAACTATCCAGTTAGATGATGTGATAAAACGAAGTGGTCTCAACAACCTGAAAGTAGTTCCTCTCATTTTGATGTACATTATATGTTTATGGTGTGATGGTAAACCTATTGGACAGTCAAAATGCCAACTTTATATAAGTATAGTAGAACTGCTTCTGTCAAGAACACTGAATAAACATCCAGAACTAGAAACAGACACCAACCCCTCCCAGGGTAATCTTCCACAATGCTTTATTAAACATGTGAAATGCCAAAAATACAGTAAGCTTATAACGGTCTTAGGAAAACTAGCTTTCCATACATTATTCAATGATCAGAAAGAAAACACCCTGGTATTTAACAGGTCTATTGCTGAAAATTATCTTTGTCAAGATTACTTTAAGTTGAGCTTACTTTCAGGAATACTAACAGAAAGTAAAGTTAAAACATATACAGAACAGGAGTCAAAAGTATCCTTTTCCCACAAAACAGTACAGGAATTCTTTTGCGCGTCTTACATATGTGTGGAAACCATATCTGATATTCAGAAAATAATTGTGGAAAAATGCAGATCTGTACAGCATATTCTAGATATGTCAACATTGTTTATGTTTATTAGTGGTATGAACCCCGAAATCATGTCTTCTTTCTCACGTGAATTTATGATTGTGATAAACACTGATGTAAAAACAAAGGAATACAGAGCTTTGACATGCGTGTTTTATCATTCCAGGCACGTTAAACCATTACAAGAAATACAAGACATGTATATTTCATGTGCCCAAGAAAGGCAGGACAACAAAGACCTCAAATTGTGTTTACAAGATTTTTTAATCAATGAAAAATGTCAGCAAGCAAACTACTTCAAACAATTACAATTTTTGTGTCAGAATAAAGAAAACATAAAATCAGTAATGATAGAAAACAAAGGTATTTGTGGTTTCCAAAAGTTTGTCGATTTGTTTACACTCTCAGACCTTCCAGAAATAGAGAAACTATATTATCATGGTGAAATTGCAGAAGAGGAAATGATGAGCTTGTTATTGAACCCTTTAAAATGTTTTTCTGTGATGCCAAATAAATGGGAAAATAATAAATTTGTAGGAAAACTTTGCTGCCTGTCTGCAGAAATAAATGGACGACTGGTAAAATTACAACATCTGGAGTGTTTATATATAGGAAGTTTTACTATGACCCACGAGGTAATGGAGACATTGTGTAATTTCCTCAGTAGTAAAAAATCAATGAAAGATTTAACATTGCATTGTTTATACTGTAGTGATCATGATACTTCATGTAGGGGAATCAACCTTGACCTGTCTCAACATTCACATCTAAGAGGTTTAGGATTAAACAAGATACCTGTGTCAGAATTAATCTTGAATGTATCGTTATTGGAATGTCGTGTAGGTAAACTATATAAACCTGGTGCTGTTGCATCTTATCTTAGTCAACTTCCAGCAGCCATTAAACTAAAAACAATCATGTGTCAGTATCTAGAATCTTCCAGTGACATAGAAACAATGTTACAAACAATACCGTTGTTACTTAATGTGAAGGAAGTTAGGTTGTGGGGAATCAATCTAGGTGAAAGATCATTAACACTGTCAACTGAAATGATCAGTATTGAACTTGTTGACTTGAGGTATATGACAATGTCTTGTTCAGTGTTACATGATCTCATTACTGTTGTAAACAAACTTCCACATACAGTGACAATATATATAAGAGGTTGTAATATAAAACCGATTACAGAATTTGAAGAAGTGAAAAAGAAATTACAAGCTTCAGAACTATTCATGGTCATGTATAATGGAACCTATCAGAACAGATTAAACAGATTTGATTTCAAAACAATAAAACACCGTTACAAATAAAAGATAAAAGACTTTTCTTTGTGAGCAACATTTCTTTCAGTAGAACAGTAAAATGTATAATATAATCATTTGATAATAATTATCAATCGGTATTAAATGTTTCCACGGTCAGCACGATTATTTAGATCATAAACAAGTTTGCAATCAATATATGCTTAAACAGAAGTTTTAGATTAGCCTTTAACATATCGGTCCTTGTTTCTGTAGGTTCGAATCCTGTCGGGGGACTTTGGATTTTTTTTTCATGTAAGAAAGCTTTAAATCAACCAACTATAGCTTACGGAATGTCAGTGGTTCGACTCAGGTGCCCTTTCGTGCCCCAAATAGCGCTTCAAGAGGCGCCTCAGATCATCAACTGTAAACCTATCACCAGTCGCCATATCAGCTTTACTAATTTTGATTTTAGCTCCAGCATAAATTAAATGATTACAATATTTGTTGTTTTAAATTGTTAAAGAATACATTCAAATGTTTAATCTATTAGATAGAAATATTTAACAAAAAAAATAATGTGCAAATAAATTTTAAGAATATATAATTTCTTTTATCTGCTTGTTTTGTTTCAATATAATTGTAAGAAGAACTCAACATGTTTTAAGTGACTTATAAATATTTAATCACAGTTCATGTAGTGAAGTATTTTGTGCTTAACTACAGTTAAAAAAGAAGAAACATTGAAGATTGCCATTTATGGCAGTAATTATAATTGCAGATTCCTAATTGCATCCTTTCAGCCAAACTTAAGAATACACAGAAATATAAAAGAATACACAGAACGAATATGGTATTCTGGTTAAACCCACACTAAATAACTAAACATGTAGTAAGTTAAGGCTAGGAGTTAATGACTTGCGTTTATTCTAAGTATTCTGGTTTTTGTCAAGTAAAATTCCACCTTAATTTAAGAAATTTATCGGTAAAAAAGTAAACGGTAATACATTTTTTCCTCGGTTCAGCGACAGCGAATTAAAGGAAAATTATTTTCCATTGGTTAAATACAGTATTGTATAATTTTCACATAAAGTAATATGTAGTATTGAGCATTCAGCTTTGCAAGGTTAACCAGGCAATATTGGCTTAAATAATTAAAAAATGGCAAGAAACGAGTTCCAATTACTGTTCCAATTTTAACCATCTAGGTGTGATATATTTTGAATTATAATTATATTATCTGAATTCTATGAATGTGTTAAAATGAAAATATATGTTTGAAAACATATCTTATAATTTATAGTAACCATGTATTGTTACATGTAATGATTGAAATTATAAATGTATTACACACTTTGAACTGATCGTCCAAATGCTCTTTACATATAATATATTACTAAATAGTGTTTGTTGTTTATTGAAAGGATATAGTACGAGTTTAAAGGAACATTATTATATTACTGTAATAAACAAAGTTTGTGGGGGATTTTCTGGAGTCAGCTGGTGGTCAGTCTATCTTTTTGTCTGTTGCATATTTCTTGTCTAGACATAACTCAGTGTACAAGAGATATTAACTTTAAATTTGTAGGTAGATACATCTAAATGAGTAGAAGTGCGGTGCATAAGAACCGTTACCCTCCCTTTCCTAAGTTTAGAGCTATTGCCCTTTGTTTATATTTACACTTTGAACTTTGTCCGGTACATCAGTGAACGATTTTAAATTTATTTTGATTGTCAGACATATTTTCAATAATATTTTTACCGAAGTAATTATTTATACCCCCATCACAAAATGCGGGGGATATAATGGATTCGCTTTGTTGTCTCCATAACCGTGTCCGCTCTATAGATCCTATACCGATTCAAGGATTTTCTTCATGCTTGGCTCAAATGTTAACCTCAACAAGGGGATGTACAGAACCCATCTTACTCATGTGTCAGCCCAAGGTCAAGATCACAATTGAAGGTCAAATAACAAACAACTAAATATTAGACAGTATGTCGTTTCCACTCTGTAAGTCCTACACTTATTGAAAGATTTTCTTCAATCTTGGCTCAAATGTTCACCACAACAACGTAATGTGCAGAAGCCATGTTACCCTTTTGCCGACTTAAGGTCAAGGTCAAACTTGAAGGTCAAACATTGACTTAGAAAATATTCTTAAATTTTAACATGTATTTGAATATTTCTGAAACTAGAAAAAGTATTTGATTAAAACTTGAAATATTTATGAAGAGTCACAATTAAGATATGCAGGTCAAGTTTCATAACTCTGTATTGAATTTTGACAAAGTTATGCCCCTTTTTAAACCTTCAAATTTTAGACAATATGTCGTGTCCGCTCTACAAGTCGTATACTAATTGAAGAATTTTCTTCAAACTTTACTCAAATGTTCACCTTAACAAAGTTATGTGCAGAACCCATGTTATTTTTGTGCCGATTTAAGGTCAAGGTCACACTTTAAGGTAAAAATTTGACTTAGAAAATGTTCCTAAATTTTAGCATGTATACAATATATATTTATACTATTACCTGTACAATTTGTCTTTTTTCATCAGAGATAATTTCTTTTTATGTTTATGTATTTGTGCCACTAAAGTTATTCCCTTAACCACCTTTCCAAGTCATCTTCTGTCAAGAATATTTGTGGGGGTATGAATCGCATTTAGCGATAGTTCTTGTTTCATTTGGTTGTTAAATATGTACATTTGTTACACACTTTAAAACATTTGTTTTTGTTTACATCTAAAACCACTGGTAGAACTACTTTCAATTTGTATTAAACCTGACATTTTTATGTATTAAGTTGAGGTGTTCCAATTGGCAGATTCCAGTAACTGTCAAAAGCCCTATCTCCTTCGTTGACCACACCCATTTGCAAAGGCTTTAAAATACTGATAATTACTATGCCCCCATTTCGAAGAAAAGGGGGTATATTGCTTTGCACTTGTCGGTCCGTCGATTCGTAGACCAAATGGTTTCCGAGTGATAACTAAAGAACCCTTAGGCCTAGGAACTTCAAACTTGGTATGGTTATTGGTCATGACCAGTAGATGACCTCTAATGATTTTGGGGTCAAGGGGTCAAAGGTCAAGGTCACATTGACCTTGTAAGCGAAAACGGTTTCCGATCAATAATTAAAGAGCCTTAAGGCCTAGGAACTTCAAACTTGGTATGGTGATTGGTCATGATCAGTAGATGACCCCTATTTTGGGGTCAAGGGGTCAAAGGTCAAGGTCACATTGACCTATTAAGCAAAAACGGTTTCCGATCAATAACTAAAGAACTTTATGGCCTTGGAACTTCAAACCTGGTATGGTGATTGGTCATGATCAGCAGATGACCCCTATTGATTTTGGGGTCAAGGGGTCAGACGTCAAGGTCACATTGACCTCTTGGGTAAAAACAGTTTCTGATCAATAACAAAAGAACCCTGAGGCCTATGAACTTCAAACTTGGTATGGTGATTGGTTATGACCAGCAGATGACCCCTATTGATTTTAGGGGTCAAAGGTAAAGGTCACATTGACCTTGTAGGTAAAAACGGTTTCCGATCAATAACGAAAGAACCTTTAGGCCTAGGGACTTCAAACTTTATATGGTGATTGGTCATGATCGGTAGATGACCCCTATTGATTTTGGGGTCAAAGGTCAAGGTCACATTGACCTCTTAGGTAAGAACAGTTTCCAATCAATAACTAAAGAACCCTTAGGCCTAGGAACTTCAAACTTAGTATGGTGATTGGTCATGACCAGCAGATGACCCCTATTGATTTTGGGGTTAAGGGGTCAAAGGGCAAGGTCACATTGACCTTGTAGATAAAAATGCTTTCCAATCAATAACTTAAGAACCCTTAGGCCTAGGAACTTCAAACTTTGTATGGTGATTGTTCATGACCAGCAGATGACCTATTGATTTGGGGTCAAGGGGCCAAAGGTCAAGGTCACATTGACCTCGTAGGTAAAAAACGTTTTCTGATCAATTAACTAAAAACGCTTAGGCCTAGGAACTTCAAACTTTGTATGATGATTGGTCGTGACCAACAGATGACCCCTATTGAGTTTTGGGTCAAGGGGTCAAAGGTCAAGGTCACATTGACCTTGTAAGTAAAAACGGTTTCTGATCAATAACTTAAGAACGCTTAGGCCTAGGAACTTCAAACTTGGTATGGTGATTTGTCATGACCAGCAGATTACCCCTATTGATTTTGGAATCAAGGGGTCAAAGGTCAAGGTCACATTGACATTGTAAGTAAAAACGGTTTCTGATCAATAACTAAAGAACGCTTCGGCCTAGGAACTTCAAACTTGGCATGGTGATTTGCCATGACCAGCAGATGACCCCTATTGATTTCGGGGTCAAGATTGGCTCGGCCCGGAAGATCACTTATTTTATATTGACTTACAAAGGAAAATACATTTAAGTATTCTTTTATGAATCTGCAATGCCCAGAGCTTAGATATTTGGAATGTCACATTGACCTTAACATTATATCATGAAAAAATGTAAAACATGCCCATTGGGTCAAAATTGGCCCTTTGGTCCCTTAATTTACATCGACTTATATAGTTAAATGTCTTAAAAACTCCTCGGCAGGATATATATTTGATATGAATTATCATCATCTTGTGGTCCCTTTCACAGGTTATATAAATGCCTTGAGGTCAAATTTTGCCCAGCCCACGTGTCCACGTGAATTAGGAGAGTAGGTCATCATGTAAGGCAATATGAATTCTAATTAAACTATTGATGTTTGTGTAAACTATGCTATGCTTCAACCTGTGATACCAAATCATGTATGAAGTCAACCGATTACGTTTAAAGAGTAATTTCATGTAAATATGAAATGCTAAATGCTAAAATACGCGGACTTATATTAAAGCTCTCAAGAAAAACTTGGATCATCTGCTATAAATGTTTATAATAATATTTGTAACATTTATTGCAAAAACACTCATAAAAGTCAAGCCTATTATTGACAAAGATGCCAGACTTAAACTTACATAGCCCATATCGCATGGATATCAAAAGGGTCGGCTCGTACGATTCTCAATAATCACATGAAAGTTAGGCAAATAACTTCTAGATGAATACCCCATCTGACCAGAAGAAAGAGCAAGATAAATGCGCTCAAGAATAACAGAAAATGTTTCCTAAATATGACACTCGCCGTTTTTTCCTGGTATAAAAAGCCTGTATTTTCTGCACAAACAAAAAGGAGCTACTGAATATTTTCCCCTAGAAAAGCTGGTGGCTGTCCGTATTCTCCGGATTTGGCAACCTGTGTCTATTTCCTCTTTCTTACACTGAAAAAAAAACATCTAACGGGTCATTGTAAGAAGAGTAAACTTGGTCATTGGTCATCCATGTTGGTTTACTTCACGAAGACTATTTTGAAGCATTTAGAACTGAGATTATACGTCCGAAACAGATTATATCTAAGAATTGAAACAGAACTTTTGTGAAATCTATTGACCATACTGCATTACATATTGACCCAAGCTCTGATATAGATTTATTTAGGAAACTACATTTAAGTCTTTTCCTACGAAACTTCAATGTCCAGGGCTTAGACTTTTGGCATGAACTTGTGCTTTTGCACTTATGTAATAGTTCATAAAGTCATGCCCCTAGCGTCAATATTGCCACTGTCCTAGAGTCACTTTACATAGTCTTGTATAGTAAAAATGTCTTTTACAATGCCATGAGATAAAAAAGTTTTTGGCAGGTAGCATCCCATTGTTTGGTCCTCTACAAATAATACTGAATGCACAGACATGTAGCATTGGCCAGTGGACGTCTACAAAATCTAGAGATAAACGAAATCCCTAATACACTAAATAGAAAATATTGTTAGTCATTCTTCTGGGTCAAAACTGTTGCCGTTTCTAGGGTTATTTAGTAAATGTAGGCTTATTTTGGAAAACACATTAAGTCTTTTTCTGAAACCGCAATGAACAGAGATATCATGATGACAGAGAAAGTTTTTTTATTTTTCTCTACAAAAGTTATTAAAAGCTATAAAAGGGCCCATTCTGGGGAATGAGTTAACAGAGACTTGTATAGTAAAATGTGTGATAGAACTCCTCGGAAATGTCAATAACATGACAATAATCTTTTGGCATGTGACACCACTCTTTAGTCCTTTACAAAAGTTATATAAATCATAACCCAGGGTCAAGCTAGCCCTGCCCCTTTTCTCACTTAGTTTATAAAGACTAATACAATGAATAAGAAAATACATTTTAGTCTTATGTGAATCTGCAATACCCAGAACGTAATTATTTGGCATGTAACATTGCATGGTAGACCTCTTATTATAAGACATGTCCATTGGGTCAAAGTGGCCATTCCCTTGTGCTCGTTTTGTTTACAAAGACATGTTAAGTTAAAATGTCTGAATAACTCCTCGTTAACAACTCTGGAATGTGTTTAATTCTTTTGTATGAATTAACACTTGTTGGTACTGTACAAAAGTTTTATAACTTCTCCTCAGAAACTGAAATACCATGCTAATATATTTTTGACATATAGCATTGCCGAATAGACGTCTAAAAAGTTATAAAAGTCATACCCCTGGGGTTAAAGTTGGTCCTGAATCGAGGGTCATTTAGTATATATTGATTTATTTTAGAAAACACACAGTTTATTCAAATTTACATAGTTAAAAAACTTTAAATCTTTCAAAATCTTTTTTTCCAAAACTCTATTGAGCAAAGCATAAATATTTGACATGTAACATTACTTTGTGGTCCTGTTCTTAAGTTTAGTAAGTCATTCCCTTGAGGGTCAAGCTTGGTCGCACCCGCGGGTCATAATTTATTTGGACGTTCAAAAGAACACACATTGAAGACAACTTAAATCATTATAATAAACCAATATATTAAGGAAAAATCATCATATGTGCCATTTATAACAATAAATGTGCCATGTATCATTTTGACATATATGAGCTATACAACTATTTTCTCACATGACTGTGTGTGTGTGTGTTTTTTTTAAGTTTATTTACACTGGACGCCAGCTATGCCATATGTTTCAGACTATCGGGCTCTGTTACGTCGCTGATCGTAGAGCCGCTACGGAGGATTTAGTTAAATAGCCTCTATACGTCGCTGATCTTAGATCGCAACGAAGGTCTTCTAAAGCTGTCTGTCTTCGCTGAGATTTTCTCCCCATGACCAAAATTTTCGCATCGAAGGACAAAGGAAGGCAATAGTTGAAAGGCACCTCTTGCAGGAGGCAGCAGCATTTTTTAGAGCCACATCCATCGCCGTTAGTTAGGGCACCCGTCTGGTGTGACCTATGCACTCCGAGCGACGTTCACGCCGCGAAGGGACGTCGGAGTAAATCTCACATGGTCTCCTTTGTTAATCGTTTAAAATACCGTAACTATTACGAATTTTCTCGGCAGTTTTTCTTATCCGTCTGTTAATAGACGAGAAAACCAATTAAGCCATTTCAAGCAATATGAAAGTAACAGTATTGATAAAAAGGAACATGTCATTGTTCGTTTATTAGCTCGTTTGTTTCGACTATTGCTAGTTATGGTTTCCATTCTGATGCTTTTGCAGCCCGCAAACTTAAACATTGATCATACTTGTTTTAACTATTTAATGGTTTGACTTCATAATTAAACCCAACATCCATTTGAACAAGACCTTCTAGTTATTCAGTTAACAAGATTAGTAAATGGCTAAAACCTTTATAATCAATTATTTTAATTTTGCGTGACGTTTGCTGTTCTGGCTATAACCTTGTTATCTATAATTGGACTGCCTTCATACTTGGAAACAACAATCATTTTGTCAAAACATTATTCATAAATGACATTGACCTTCAAGGTAAAGTTATTGAGTTCTTTTCTGTTTATTGTTTTCTATAATTTCTTATGTTTTGGTCGTTTTCATACTTGAACACAACTAACTTTAGGACAATGTCTGGATCTCTAGCGGTATTGATTAGCTAACAAAATGTTTAACACACTCTGAATCACAAGCGATAAAAACCAAGCTCACAAAATGTTGGATGTTGGAGACACTCGGGATCTCTAGCTATATTGATCTAGCTCACAAAAATGTTGGACACACTCGGGATCTCAAGCGATATTGACCTAGCTAACAAAATGTAGGACACTCGCAGTGTCTCTAGCGATATTAACCTAGCTCACAAACTATTGGACACACTTTGGATCTCTAGTGATATTGTCATAGCTCACAAGATGTTTAACAAACCTTTGATCTCCAGCGGTATTGTCCTAGATAACAAAATGTTGGGCACACTCAGGATCTCAAGCAATATTGAACTTGCTCACAAAATATTTGGCACACTCTGGGTCACAGCGATATTGACGTAGCTAACAAAAATGTTGAAGACACTGAGGACCTCCAGCTTTTTAGCGATATTGACTTAGAAATGGAATGAGAACATTATAATATCTGGCATGTGTACTCCTTTATATTAACCATTTCTTATGAGTTTCAACAGAGCACACAAACAATGTTACTGACAAGTCATATCGATTTTGTTTTACTCAACAGTGCTTCATGCAGAATTAAGACGCTTTGTCAAAGGGCAGAGTAGAACTGAAGCTATATTATTAAAAACTTTATTCTAAACTAGTCACAAAAACACATCAGAAATACATTAAAATTATGACGCATGCACTTAAATAATTCATATTGTTCAACCTATGTCGCAAACTTGTTTATTCAGCAAGCCTGACCTTTACTTTTTAAGCATAAATATACATTTTTATACATATTGCTTTACATACATATTTTCCCGTTGGCTTTATGGATTTTTTTCATTAATTAAACAAACTTTTCCTTTGTTCAAAGTTATCCTTATAACTACAAAATGACCCTATATATAACATTTGAGAATATGAAAATTTCTTCAATGCAAATTTGCTTTCATATCTTTCGACTTTAAACTTTACTTTGGTTAAACTTACTTTACTTTACTCCACTTTACTCAATGCGAGAGAAATTTTTTAATTACTCAATAATGGCATTGCGATTTTACATTAAATCATTTTATAATAACATTTAATCGATACATTTGAAAAGTTTATTTTTCTTCCTTCAAAACCATTTAGTATACTCCTACAAAAATCTATTTTAATGCAATGAGGTTTTAAAGTGACATTCTGCCATTTAACTGTCAAGTTAAGAAGAGTAAGTAATATATTAATAAAGATTTATGTAAGTGTTTGATAACTACATTTTCAAGATGTTAGAAGTTTTGTTTGCTGCAATGAATTAATCAATAAATCTAAAGATAAAAAAGAAAATAGGAATTACATCACAAAATGATAAAAATATGACATAAAGTAATACAAAAATGAAAACATATAAATAACCCTTCAAAACTAAAGAAGTTTGGTCACGACTGCATTTTTTTTACATATATCATCACTATTATTATTTCTTGATAATACATTCAGGCGGTATCTATCATCACAATTTCTAAAAATGAAGTTAATGCTATTTACTTATAAATCCATCAGTTCCGATATATAACACAAACCTTTTGATATTCATCACTTTATTTACACAGTTATTAATACTTGATGATTTATTCAACTTTTATTCAACAAAGTTATTCAAATTTGATGATATTTTCATCATTTCCGGTATGTAATGTAAAGTTCTTCAATATTTGACTAATCGATTTGATAACATTTCAATGTTTATAAGATGGTTATTAAAGTTGATGATATATTCAGGAATTACTTCCTGTATGTAAAAGGTAAAGCTACCGATATTTCATTTATCACTTTCGGAAACATTACAATGTTTATGGGATAAAGTTGCTGATATTTGATTTATCACTTCCGGTAACTTTGAAATGTTTATAATGTAAAGTAATTAATATTTGATTCAAATATCAATTACTTTAAATGATGATATAGAGGATATTTGTTTAGTTCAGTGTAAGATCGGCATTTATTACATGCTTTTCGGTGGTTTATAGAAATGTATCAGTGATATAAAAACTGGTAATTTCACTGTTTCAGTGAAATTCCAGCGTGCACAGAACTGGGTACCAACTTAATGACGTGACGTCGTAAATGACGTCACGTTGTATTATCATTTGGCGCGCTTTTCATTGAAGTTTAATGTTTTTTAAAACGTTTTTTTGCATATAATAAAAAAAAATTGTTTAGTTTAGTGTAAGATCGAAATATATTTCACCTTGTGAACACCAAAAGTTCATACCTTTTGGTGCTTACTCGGTGAAATATATATTTAATACTTCAGGTAACTTTGCAATGTTAATTTAGTTAAAATTATTGATATTTGGTGATATATTAATCATTTCTAATAACTTTACAATGTTTATAAGGTAATTTGATGATACATTCAACATTTCCGGCAACTTTACAATGTTTATAAATAAAAGTTACTTTTATAATGTTTATAAAGTTACTGATATTTGATTATATATTCTGGGTAGTACTGATTCATATCAAAGAGACAAAATATTCTTGGACGATCTGTGCTGTCAACACAGCAATCATACAATTTAGATGGATCTTTGTCATTGATTGGTGGCGGTCTCTTATACTTCGGGTCTCCATGTGTCCATTTCCCTGCTAACACGCGGCACTGGAACATAAATTTATGTCCACTAGCATCCGCCGAAGCGTACCCATCCGAATACTTTGCATCTGATTGGCTAGGTAAAGTAAAACTGGTACAGGGCATCATCTACATACTGGTTTTCCCACATGCATGTATAAGTAGCCACTAACATATAAGTTTTGTCTTACAAAGTGGGCCCAATTACAATGACCGATTCTGTCAAACTAACATAGCATAAGCGTATAAATGATATACTATTATGATTGAATTCGGTTTTATTAAAACACTCTATCCGAATCATATCTATTTTCATTACAGCTTTCACTGCAGTATTGTATTAAATAACAGGAAGACATATGTGTATTGATTGCTAAAATAGCAAATCTGACTTTACAAAAAAATATTATTATTTGCTGTGGTTTAATCCACGATCACTGCATAGTTTCGTTCAAGTTCAAGGGTCATTTGAATTCCTATACAAGAGATGTTTTAAGATTTAACATGATACTGACAAACCTTTTTAAGAACTCTTTAGTTGCCACGTCTGTACACATATCAATCGGCGTTTGTCCTTTATTGTTCTTCACTGAGATACTAGCACGTGCTTCGACAAGCATGCACGAGATCTGAATACCTGTATCATCATTTACAAGAGGAACCCCAAGTAATCTTGCAAGCTGTAATACAAATTTTGATATTTTCATTACACGTTAGGAGGTACAATGCTTGTTTATCCGATATACAAAATGGATGAGTAAATAAAGTACATATTAATTTAGGATCGGAATTTAACTTGAATTTAACAAACATTCGATCATGTATGGTGAAAAAAGTAAGGGATTAAACATGTGCATATGCTTATAACCTTATTGTATCTGCTAATGCATTTAATATGTGCCTCTGTAATCATGTTTTATATCTGGTAATTAAGAGTGACATTTTGTAATGCACGGCTAAAATGCTTCACGTGTAGTCACGGGTGACAATTACAATACCCGATAGTACTTTATGTGACACGTTTACCACTTACCGTATCTGATAGTGAAAGGGCTAATTAAAATTCGGCAAATAAACCACTTACTATATACGATAATGTACTGCTAATATGAAGTACGTGTACCGTATACTGTATCCTGTAATACATCGCTAATATGTGGTACCAGTACTGCTCACTTACCTTATAGTGTATCGCTAATATGTGGTACGTGTATTGATCACTGAACCTTATAGTGTATCGCTAATATGTGGTACGTGGATCTCGAGGTGTATCGCTAATATGTGGCACGTGCACTATTTACTGTATCTAATAGTGAATCGCTATTATGTGGTACCAGTACTGCTCACTTACCTTATAGTGTATCGCTAATATGTGGTACGTGTACTGATTACTGTACCTTATAGTGTATCGATAATATGTGGTACAAGGACTGCTCACTCTACCTTATAGTGTATCGCCAATATGTGGTACCAGTACTGCTCACGACATATCTTATAGTGTATCGCTAATATGTGGTACGTGCACTATTAACTGTATCTTGTAATACATCGCTAATTTGTGTCAAATGGACCACTAATCATATCTGAATGTAACTATAAACCATAGCATGTGTATAACACACCTATAAAATATAGAATGTGTACCACTTACCGTATTTGGTAATGCACAGCTAATATGGGACACGTCTACCGTATATGATAGTGCATCACTTGCCGTATTTCACGTTCAGTATGTGTAAGACTTATTACTTTATTTAGTAATGAAGCTAAAATGACGGCCGTGTACCACGTCTGATAGATCTTAACTAATACATGGCACGTATATCACTTCTCATATCTGTTAGTGTGCATCCTAAAATGTAGCACATGTACAATTACAACTTACCGTATCTGGTAGTGCTCGACTAATCTGTGCCACGTGTAAAGCTGTATTACCATCATTGTCTTGGGCATTTACGTTACAGCCTGTAAAGAGGAACAAACACAATGATTGGCATCTTCGTTAAAGAACTACTAAATTATATATCCATATGTACTACTCAACAATTGCTAAGTACCAGATAAAGTTTCTTAATATATTATGAAAAGTTTAGGATTCATTTATTTAGTTTGATTCAGCAATATTTCGTGATGGTCCAAAACCAAAATGCAATAGTTATGTTTTATTGGGTAGGACTCGCCATCTGGTCATAGAAAGCATGCACCCCTCGTTTTTCTGCTTCTTTTAGAAGTAGCAGAGACATATTGTTGTTCTGATACATCGATATTACAAATCTATTGTCACTCAAAGGTCAGACTTTATTGCATTGGTCACGGCATTTGAGTGAAGCAGAGATATGAAGAGTTGTAATGACTGCGGAGCAATTGGGTGGGGGCACACACCGTGAGGTTGATGTGGTACTTGATTTACACCACACGAATGTTACCAAAGTACACCCATCTGCTACGGTTGTACTAAACAGAGGTACACTGACTGGTCAGCGGTACATCGGTGAGATGTTAGACACCCAGGTCAGGCTGTAAGCCGGGGTAGTAGTCGATCAGTTCATTTCAATAGACGATAATGTGCGTCCTACAGAGCCAAAACTACGTACATAGAAGTGGTATCAACCGCTTTGACTGGCACGTTCGATCACCCAACCTAAGATAAGAGCTGTAGATATCAGCTAACAAGGTGCGACATAGAAGCATCAAGAAGCTTGTCGACACAAGAATGGGCCACCATCCCGGCTTGGACTGTCACAATTGTATTATACAGTGATACAATGTCACGATTATCAATATTTCTAGGAAGATAATCTTCATGTATATCGTGGCTGTAGTCTTACCATATGTCAGCAATAACTCCACAATACGTTTATGACTTTGACTGACAGCAACAATTAGTGGTGTTCTACCGTTCCCGTCTGTAGAGTCCTTATTTGCATTTGCCTTTAAATAAAATGGGCATTTTATTAACAATTTTCCATAATATAAAACTGGGCTCAAAGATAACCAGGATAAAAACTGAGTTTTGATGTATACTCCAAACATTAATAGAATTAGAATTTAAATGTTCGTTCTTAATTTAGTGTACTTATGTTTATCACTTTTTGAGGGATAAGTGTAAATTACAGTTAACATATGTATGCAAATTATCCACAAAGTTGAAGATAAGAGTACATGTAAATTACAGTGACCAATGCGGGGAACTTATCCAACATGTTTATGATTAGCAAGAACTAGTTAGAGAAAAAAATCTGTGACGATGTAAGCAAACTATCCATAATGTTTACTAGGATAATAGATAGATGAAGTCATCAATGTGGGCAAGTTTTCCATGGTGTAATATAAAGTGGGCAACTTTTCCATGGTGTAATATAAAGTGGGCAAGTTTTCCATGGTGTAATATAAAATGGGAAAGTTTTCAGCACTGTGTAAGACGGGGACAAATTATACCCAATGTTTAGAATCAGATAAATGTAGAGTAACAAGTTATCAGAATTATTGGTTGTCATGAGATTAAATCAGTAATTTGCAACGACGTACGTTTGTTTCCCTTTTCATCAAAAGAGCACACGTATTGTGGTGATTATTACATCTCATATTTTAAGTTGCACTGACAGTTTATCACTCAAAAAGTGTAAAACATTGTTTCTAATTTATATACCTTCAAGAGCCCGCTGGCTATTTCTACGTGATCGTTTGCAGCACAAATGTGCAAAGCGGTAAAACCCTCTGGCATCTTTAGGTCAATAATAGATGGCTTGTTTGATATGATTATTTCAGCAGCCCTGGTATATATATAGACATATAAAACATTTATAGTGAAAATTATGTTAAATTGTCATGTCATATAAAAGTATACAATAACATAAAACAAATAACAAATAGTGACAAGATAATAATCATGTTTGGCTTTCAGCACAGGAGTAGATTGTTACCAGGCCATATTTCCAGCTCTTAAAGAGACCGTTGACCTAAAACGTGGCATAGAATGTATAATGGAAATCTGCACAAAAACTTACTGTAAATGTTACAATCAAGATATGAGGAAAGACACTTCTGGATAATCCTGCTCAGTATGACTTACCACATGAAAACATTTAGTCACATGATGAGAAAATGTGCAATCTGACAGGGGCTCAAACCCGGGACCCTCGGAATACCGAACAGAGACTGTACTGACAGGACTATCCTACTCCCATGATTACTGAACAATTCTTAGCGTAGAAAATATACCAGCAACTTATTTAAAGTCCAAAATGGCACCATTAAAGCCTTAAATAATTACTGAAAATTTCTAAATGATTGCACAATTTTCAAATACATCAATGTCTCAATTATTGTAATTTCTAAAACTCAATTAGGTCTGAACATTTAAGAAGTACATATACCTTCTACAATCTTTGAGAGCTGCCCATTGTAGCACGTTAAAACCTTTGCCGTTACTAACGGTAAAGTCCGGTTTTGGGGACTTAAAGATGGTTTCTACTAGATAATTCTGTTTTCTTTTCTGTATTATGCAGTCGTGCATCGGACTATCACCATCTTCATCCTGTAATTACATGATTTGTAATTACTTATGTTATACAACAAAACAATTAATCAAGTTATTCCATTTTAATTAAATTCCAAAAAAATACGCTACAAAATATATAATTTCCACGAAACCTTATTTCTTTAACAAGTTAACATAGAACTTGATAATTATTATTTATTTAATGAGTACATAAAAGAAGCACACAAACTAGTTCAAATAACAGATATATCTTTTGAAATTGTAAGATTCGCCTTATTTTTTTGTCACGGAACATAACTTTTCATTTTACCTTCAAATTGACGGAAGCGCCACTTTTGATGAGCAGTTTGGTACAAGGGACATTACCCTTTCCTATCGCGATATGAAGACTTGTCTGCCCCTTTTTATTCTGTATATCTAGTTTGGCTCCCCTCTGTAATAACAGAGTCATGGCCCCTTCTTCTTGCCTATCATAAATAACAAATAATGCCTTAAAACAAGATATTTCCGTAATATAACGGTACACCCGAGTATTAAATGTTTTATTAATATTGTGAAATATAAACCCTTCATGGCCCTTGTCTGATGCTTTATAGCATGTAAGATGAGCGATTTTCAGTAAAATGCAGCTAAGTAATGCATTCAAGCAAAACAAGGAAAAATTGATTTGATTTGGTTCTATAAAATGTTACATAATTTCCAAAAATTGGAAATATTAGATAATCTGGCGCTAAATAAACATTTAGTTAATTTAGCTTTATTTCAAAAGCAATTTAATAACGTTTAGAATTAGAGACTTTTCTCAATAAAACTACAAAGTAAAATTTTTTTTACTGTGTATTGTGAGTGCTAAAAATGTCGCATATTTTACCCAAAAGAAGCAAAAGTAAACACATTTCGCCAAATAAAATAAAAAAGAGGAATGTTTTACCATGGGTGGGGGTGGCAAAATCAAAATAAACATATTATAGCCAAAGAAGCAAAAGTAATAAGTAGCATATCACATATATCACAAAAAAAAAGTTACAAACATTTTGTCCACACGGATCAAAAGTAAAAATTAACATATTTAATTCAAAAGAAGCAAACGTAAAAAGTCACATATTTTGCCAGTAAAACGTCACATATATTGCCAAAATTGAGGAAAAATCAAACAAGCAAAAAAAGATCGACATATTTCGACACATAAGAAAAAAAGAAAAAAGTCACATATTATCCAAAAGAAGCAGAAGTAAAATTAAACATATTTTACCCAAAAGAAGCATAATGCAGAGCAGTGTCGCCTTCATTATCAGTACTGTTAACATCAGCTTTATTTTCCAATAAGAACCTAACTACATCCATCTTTCCTTCATAACACGCAAGCTGTAGAGCGGTTTTATCTTCATGTTTTGCATTTACCTGTATTATACATAATCAAACTGCAAATTACCTTTATATGCCAAACATGACGATCACTTATTCCAAACTTTTAAAGTATGTTCATTTGAAATTTGAATTATTCTATAAATGAATTTATCAACTAAAATAACTTATTAACACTTATTCTGATCATCATCAACATTCAAAATTTGCATATGTACTATTTATAGTATACTTTTTCTGATATTTACATTGCTTTCCCCTTTAATTAGATCGGGGATATATAGTACTGGGATAAGACACGTGCTATACAGGAAACGAAATTATTATTTTTTCTCGGCCTTAGGTTAACATCAGTTGACCGGGTATTACTGATCCGTTGGGTACCTTTCTCAAAGCTGCAGAATTGTGTTTTTTGAAAATGCGATTTTGTCTTTGAATAGTTGAATTGATAAATGAAATGTCATCACGTGGCGTTACATCGGGTCTACGTTTTTTATTTTCACCCTACCGCAATTTACACGAAACAAAAATTCTGAATAATATCAAATTTCAGTACAAACTAAACCTTTGTAGGATCAATACATTTCTGCAAATTTTGATACCGAATTTTAACTTTTTTGCTTATGTATAAAAACAGAATTTCCAACACACTTTCTTTTGCATTTTTGTATCATTGCCGTACCTTTTCCGGATTTTTGCGAACTATAGCTTGGACTCGTGCAATATCTCCTTTAGCGGCAGCTTCGACAACAGACATGTCACCATTATCATCATCCGGAACACCTCGGAGAAGACCAACAAATAAATCAGCTAGGGCACCGGCAACACCTGTAAGAACCAAGCAAACTTATTTCATTAATTTACTCAAATTTAAAGGTAAACAAAAAGAAAAATACAGAGGGACAAACACATCGTATTAAAAGAAAGGGGTTCATCGTGATTGATTTCTAGTTGCTGCTTTTTTAATTCAGTAAAGATACATTATACAGTGCAAATACATAATAGATAGTCATTGGACTGTACATTACGGGAAATACGAGTGCACGAGGCTATTTGATTAGTTCTAGTCTTATTTGGGTCTCAACCGTATATAGCCAACGCTGGTTATTAGATGCAAAGAAAACCGCGTTATATGATAAATAATGATAGATGAAGATGGAAACATTGAATTTGTAAAAATGAAATATCGCATAATAACCGGTCCTATTGTAAAGCATAATAGAACAGAGCAAAGTATTATTTTCTTTGACATAAAGTGTAAAATTGATAATCAAGGCTCCAAAATATATTTGGAAATCAAAGAAACATAAATATACATTCAAAATTTATTTATATTGTTTGAGTTAGGAAGAAAAGCCAAAACAAAGGTATTTCATTGTTGTTCTGTTTTACATATTACAGCGGTAATGTATGGACCTGTTCTGTTTTACATATAACAGCGGTAAGGTATGGACCTGTTCTGTTTTACATATAACAGCGGTAAGGTATGGACCTGTTCTGTTTTAATTTGTTTTACCTTTCATGTTCTACATTTGTTTTATACTTACGTTCCATATCACGCTGCATCTGTTTAAGGTCATCAACTTCACCATGTTCCATTTCAGATTTTGTTAGGTCTGGTGCCTTTTTGGACATTGCTTGGTCCTCAAGCGGGCAACAACAGACCGGGCTATATATCCATACCCGGTCTCCGACTTTAACTCTAACATCACCGTCTGAATCTATACGGGCAATACGGCCTATAGCGCCTAATGTCTGAAATAACGTTAGATGCAATACTTTGTCAATCAACTTACCAGAAATGCAAGTTATATACCTGATAGAAATTTATTATAATAACATTGTAATATGTAAACTCTACAAACGCACAGCTCTAACACTACATAGATCTCTTGGTAAAGGTTATGTCATACGTTTTGACAATAAAACTCGTCATAGTTAATTAAAATGTAATTGAGATAGACACGAAACCAATCATCCTTCGTGTTGAATTTATATCCTTTACCATTTTCGCAAAATGAATGACATATTATTTGAAGTATTACCGATTTCATTTCGTCATTCCAGCCTCCATGGCCTTCTTGAAGTTCCTTCACCGTGTTGTCATCCTCTAGTATAGTAATTACTTCGCCCGGGGAAAAGCTGTGCAACTAAATACATTTTCAACCAAAAAATTACTATGCTTTATGTCATATATTCGAAACTCATTTTTTCGCTAACAAAAGTTTTTTTTTATATATATATTACACCGCATGGAAACTTTCTCTTTAAGTAAGTAAAACATATTTCTACAGAACCAATCTTCGGAGACTGCTATGAAATTGCTTAAGGTTTGGATTAGGATTTCTATAACATGCATGTAAGTAGGAGAAGTGGCACTACCTGACTACAGACCTTCTAAAAAGTGGGATATACTGAGTAGGTGCATTAATTTTGATAACATTTACAAGACCTTCTAAAAAGTGGGATATACTGAGTAGGTGCATTAATTTTGATAACATTTACAAGTGTCAAACAACGGTTAAATGGATAATGTCTGTTTTAACAAGTAAATCTAATATTCATATTAGAACAAAAAAGTCTTGAAAAACGGGTGAAGTCATTTCTTTTAAAAATGGTCACAGTTGATAATCACCCTGTATAAAGCCTGTCTGTTGATCGTCCATATTTTCCCGTCCGTATACTGAACACGGGATGCTTTACCGTCATATAACATTTTTATCACAGTCCCAACTTCGTCTATACACTATATAGAGAAAATAAAGATAGTACGTTCTTTACCAAATTTATTTAAGGTCCATCAAGATCTTGCATCACCAGTAAATTATTGCTATAAAAATATTCTTATTTAATCATTAAAGTACAGTAAGAAAATCGAATAGTTTTATTCATAACTTACAGGCCCAAATTCAATTTAAATCATCACCATTACATATATCAAGTAGAGTGTTAACTCAATATTATCAGATAGCTATCATATATCTATAATTCATGTAAATCATGATGTTCTTGCCTGAAGCATTCCATCACTCCACCCACCATAGGCTTGGTGTTCTTGTAACCTTTTAAAATGCTCCTTATCTAACGAAACTCGAACTTTGTCACTGTTTTTCAAAATTATCTCACCTGGGTTGACAATATCTAAAGTAAAATGCAAATATTATCAAACTTCATGTTTTGTATTTAGATTACTAGTATAATTATGATATATAGTTTTCTTAATAAGAACATATATAGTATACATGTAGCTCCACTGATTCGAAACCGTATGCTGCATTAAAATTACGTAAATGAATTAAATCAATTTGCACTCCTTCTTGGTTAATGGTTGCCCTAAGAATGTTATTTCTAACATCCTCTTTAAATACTACATTGTATATTGTTCCTTGTCAGAAAGTCATCAGTTTTAAAGAAGTTTATTGTACGAACCATGGACGGTCCAAATATGCCAAAAATAACAGGTTGATACCCATAGGACTACTTGCAGTGTTTCTCTACTACTAAAGACAGAAAGCCGCAATATAATCTTACTTCAAATTCAAACATGCAAAGTAACAGTTGAAAAAAACTGCAGCAGTATCGTAACGTTAGTATCGTTCAAAGTCAGTATTCTTTGGTATAAGTTTTGCTTAAAGCTGCGGTCTCACTTACTCCCGGCAAAGCCCAGGACCACCCCGGTAAGTTATCGGATGATCCGGGACGATCCGGGGTGAAATTATTGTTGCGGTCACACTTACCCCGGCAGCACTACGGTAATTCCCAACTAACCACCCAGGATGTGCTCCGGACCATCCAGGCAGAGCCCAGGTGAAGCTACGGTTTATGCCGGTGCTTCCCCGGTCGTTCCCGGATGACGCCGGAAGAGCCCCTGTTGACTCAGGCAGAGCCCCGGTCGATCCAAGCAGAGCCCCGGCAGAGCCTAGGACGATCCAGGCGGAAGGGAAATGGGAAGGGTTTTAATACAAACAAGTGAAATCATCGCACGCAAATTGTCGTGATTCTTTTTAAATGAACCGGGCTTTGCCGGGACTCTACCGGGATCAACCGTAGCTCCATCGTCATCTTTTGGGGCTCTGCCGGCATGCACCGGGGCTCTGCCAGCCTTCACCGGGGCTCTGCCAGCATTTACCGGGGCTCTAGAAGCTCTACCGGCTATATCATGCCCCGTATCATCCCCTGTTTGTACCGGCAGAGCTACGGTGCTTCCCCTGTGTAACCCTGGTCGTACCAGGCAGAGCTAAGGATGCAGCCGGCAAAACTATACTTCCCGGATCATCCCGGACCACCCCGGTGATATTAAATATTTTATTCCATCCGGGGTTGAATGCCGGATGTTCCTGGATCATCCCGGACGTTGCCGGCAGAGTTACGGATGTACTCCGGTTGTTCCCAGTCGTGATCCGGTCGTTCCCGGATCACCCCGGACATCTACCGGGGCTCTGACGGGGCTCTGCCGGGGTGTTAGTGAGACTGTAGCTTAAGGTTTTACTGGAAAAATCTATTATTTTCTCAAATTATATCGGTTTCTGAAATAATACTATGGAGGAAAAAGAAATGAAATTACCAACAAGTGGGAGATGTTCTATATAGTAATTCCCAAAAGTCGCTTCCTCTGTATAGATAACATCCACGCATCCGTCCCCGCCCATTCTGTATGTTCCCTCTTTCTTTGTAGCTTTCCACTTTACCTTGACTCCGCCCCTTGGGGAGGAGCCTTGCCATGGCACAATAGCAAGAACCTCACCTTCATCTTCTCCTCCGCCTTAATTGACCAATAGAAACATTTTCATTTAAAAAGCCATGTTGTAAAGCAGCTTCAATGTTGGAAAAAAGTTATAAAACTAGTATAGCATTGCCTTGACAATGTCTCAAACAGGGTGTAAAATAACATTTCAAAATATAAATATAAATGATAATACTTTAAATAAGAAAATGTTATAAATTGTTGCTAGGTTACCATCATCGTTTTTCCACTTCCAGTGAGGTCCCCGCATTACTAAAGCACCTTTAAATACACCTTGTATCTCCTTTGGTTTTGTGAAACGTCTTGGTGACACAGGGACGCTACATAATATGAAAAATATGTCAAATTATACAAGAACATACAAGAACAGTCTTTGTGGCGTTCTCTTGATGAATTACTTACGAAAATAAGAAACAGAAAATCAAAATCATCGAATCATGATGATATACATATATTGTATGTTGAATATCAAATATGCTCAGTTTCTAGGGGGAAGATACGAAATTTTGTCACATCAAGAAATAAATGTCGATATTTAACGAATGCGTGATTTAAATCTTTATTCAATGGGCAGTGACTGGATTCAGATTTTATATATTATAGTGTAAATTTTCCCTTCAGTATCTTCAGATTTAAGAATAAATTAAAGGCCTAGTATTTACACTTAAATCTTTCCATTTATTGTTTGGACAGTAATGTCAGCACATAGATACCGGTATACAACTTGCACTATGACATTTTTTACTTTTGCTTTATTGGAAAGTAAAAATCAAATGACTACGTACGCTACAATATTTTCGACTTCCAAGCGCATGAAACTGTGAGAGAGGTCGTGTTTTCCCGCCATATAACATGACGTACACAAATCAAAGTCGTCACAGGCCGAACATTTCCATCTAAACCCGATAACTGGCGTCTCCTGACACACGTCACATGTTATACCTTCGTGACGTACACCTGTTATAGACAACTTTAATTAATATATTAAGTTATATATAAATATATACTTTAAGCTGGTGTAAATGATGTGAACGGAATTGATTTTTTTATTACATTTAAAAGTCTTCGTACATATCACATCTAATTCGCCATCTAAATAGAGGATATTGAATGAGTGTAAGTTCAATACTGAATTAATTGAACGAGTTGAATAAAATTATATTATGAGACCCTCTGGCGAGCATATCATTTTATTCAACGAGTTCAATAAATTCAGTAATGAACTTACACAAATTTAATATTTTATTTATCACAAACGCTAACACTTAGCGCGTCTTTACACTATGTTTGTATAACGCAATTGACGTCACGTCAAAATATATGCACGGCCGTGCAATACCATTTTTACGGAGTCGCAAATTGGCACGAGTATGTGATAAAATTTCATATGTTTTGTTATAAAATATTTTGATGGGATGGAGTCCTCAATCAAAGTGTCTGCTATCTTTATATATCTAAAACAAACTATTTTGAAAGTCAAGTCCTGCACGTATCAAAACCTTGCTCAATGTTCTATAGTGTTTTAATCTTATGGTATACATGTACCACAAAGTACATTACACATAAGAGCTATTCCCCCATGAAGTATCAAGCCGATAACTCCTAAACATTTTGAATTATCACCTCGACTAAAACTAAGCATGAAAAATGATAAAGCGCTGTAGATACAACAAAAAATGAAGTAAAGAGTCTTTTTTCATTTGATCTGAAACTTATCAACTTATAAAGTTGCAAGTTGGTATCTTAGATATTTTTTTTGAGTTTTGTTCCTCTGAATTTATGCATGAGAAATTAGTCAAAGTTATGATGTTGAGAGATGTCATTCTTGTCAAATACATTTCTCCTTACTGTTTCACGGGGGAGGAATTGTTACACGGAGATGGAGTTCTTCTGATAACTTGATGAAAATGGACTAAGTGTTTGTTGTTTTTTTTGTTGTTGTTTTTTTCCACACATCTTAATCATCAAATTCTAATTTAGCACCTCAAACTCTCTCGTTAAAGATGAAAACTATCATTTTTGACGAGTTTTTCGACGAATTACACTTCTCCTAAATGTAAGAAATAACATATAATGTATATGTTATGGTTTTGACAAATGTCAATCGTGATAAATAACAAAGGCACAGACCCTTAAATCATGAAACCTCACGTCAAAAACTATGCACGGCCTTACAGGTGTAAGAGCGAAAATATGAAGCGTCATTACACCTGATTACTATAAAATCAACGAATAAATGAGATATAATTCGGAAGGGCACTTGTTTAAGGAAAATATGGTTACCGAATGACACACTTTTATGTTTAGTTTAAACATATTTATTTTAGCTCTATTGCGAAACTAGTTTTTGCAACATGAATTAATCACTTTCAAGTCCGCATCCTGATACTAACTTATTACTGGGGTCAAATGAAGACCGAATAGGGCTTGAACAAATGCTCTTTGGATTGAGAGGCAGACAACATAATCACTAGGCCACCACTTTTTTATGTTGAGATTAACAATAAGAAAGTATAGTCTTGTCTTACCAATTGGAGCGTTATCTAGCACTCTAAGATCATATTTTCGATCATTCCCCGCTCTATAACGGCGTTCTTGTCCGCTGTCCCATATCACGGTCACTTTGTCGTCTGATGACCCTTCCTTGGGTACATAGATAATTGTTCCTTGAAAAGTAAATTGTAGCAATTATACAAAATGTATTTGAAACAAAAGTCACATAAAATATCAAGTACAGTAGTGTAGGTTCTAAATGCTCTCGCTGAAAAATATCAGGGGTGAAATTGTCGTGCACACATTTTTTATATTTATTTTTGTAATCTGATTCTGTTTTCCATGAGCTGAACATATCTTTTTGATTTATATTGTGCATTTATAAATGGAGTTTCCATTCGGAAAAAGGCATGTATTTCTGCAGTAACATATATAAACGAGACAAAATGAAATGATCAAATGCAATACACTTTGTTTGTAGCATATAATTACAGGTGATCTATGTAGTTTGGAGGATACTAGTATAGCTACAGATGATCTACGTGGTTTGTAAAATATAGTTACAGGTGATCCACGTGGTTTGAAAGATATAGTTACAGGTGATCTATGTGGTTTGTAAAGATGAAGTTACAGCTGATCTACATGTTTTGGAAGATATAGTTACAGGTGGTCCATGTGGTTTGCAAGATATAGTTTCGGCAGATCCACGTGGTTTGAAAGATAAAGTTATAGGTGATCTACATGCTTTATAAGATATAGTTACAAGTGACCTACGTGGTTTGCAAGATATGGTTACCGGTGATCTTCGCGGCTTGTAAGATATAGTTTCAGGAGATCCACGTGGTTTTCAAGATATAGTTACAGGTGCTCTACGTGGTTTGTAAGAAATAGTTTCAGGAACGTGCTTTGGAAGATATACTTACAGGTGATCGACGTTGTTTATCAGATATAGTTACAGGTGATCTACGGGGTTTGGAAGACATAGTAACAGGTGATTTAAGTGGTTTCGAAGACATCGTTACAGGTGATGTACGTGGTTTTATAGATATAGTTATAGGTGATATTCGTGGTTTGGAAAATATAGTTACAGGTGGTCTACGTGGTTTGGAAACTAGAGTCACAAGAGATCTACGTGGTTTGCAAGATATAGTTACAGGTGATCTACGTGGGTTGTAAGATATAATTACAGGAGATCCACGTGGTTTGTAAGATATAGTTACAGGTGATCTACGTGGTTTGTAAAATATAGTTTAAGGATATCCATGTGGTTTGGAAGATATTGTTTCAGGAGATCCACGTGGTTTGGAAGATATAAATACAGGTGATATACCTGGTTTGGAAAACATAGTAACAGGTGATGTACGTGGTTTTAAAGACATAGTTACAGGTAATGTACATGGTTTTATAGGTATAGTTACAGATGATGTACGTAGTTTGGAAGATATAGGAACAGGTGATCTACGTTTTTTGAAGACATGGTTACAGGTGATCTACTGGTTTTGAAGATATAGTTATAGGTGATACACGTGGTTTGGAAGATAAAGTTACAGGTGACCCACGCGATTTGTAAGATAAAGTAACAGGTGATCTACATGGTTTGGAAGATATAGTTACAGGTGATCTATGTAGTTTGTAACATATAATTACAGGTGATCTACGTGGTTTGGAAGATACAGTTACATGTGATCTATCTGGTTTATTAGATAAAGTTACATGTGATCTACGTGGTTTGTAAGATATGATTACAGGTGATCTACGTGGTTTGGAAGATATAGTTTCAGGAGATCCACGTGGTTTGGAAGATATAGTTACAGGAGATCTATGTGGTTTGGAAGATATAGTTACATGTGATCCACGTTGTTTGGATGATATAGCTACAGGTGATCCACGTGGTTTGGAAGATATAGTGACAAGTGCTCTATGTGGTTTGTAAGATAGAGTTAAAGGTGATCTATGTGGTTTGTAAGTTATAGTTACAGGTGTTCCATGTGTTTGCAAGATATAATTACAGGTGATCTACGTGGTTTATATAATATAGTCACAGGTGATCTTCGTGGTTTATAAGATATAGTTAAAGGTGATCTAGGTGGTTTGGAAGATAAAGTTAAAGGTGATCTACGTGGTTTGTTAAATATGGCTATAGGTGATCCACGCAGTTTGGAATATATAGTTACAGGTGATCCTCGTGGTTTGTAAGATATGATTACAGGGGATCTATGTGGTTTGGAAGATATAGTTACAGGTGATCCATGTGTTTGCAAAATATAATTAAAGGTGATCTACGTGGTTTGTCAAATACAGTCACAGGTGATCTTCGTGGTATAGTTAAAGGTGATCTAGGTTGTTTGGATGATAAAGTTACAGGTGATCCACGTGGTTTCTACGATATAGTTACAGCTGGTCTTCGTGGTTTGGTAGATACAAGTAACGGTGATCTACGTGGTTTGGAAGATATGGTTGCAGGTGAAACACGTTGTTTAGAAGATATAGTTTCAAGATATCCACGTGGTTTGGAAGATATAGGTTCAGGAGATCCATGTGGTTTGGAAGATATAGTTACAGGTGATCCATGTCGGTTGCCAGATAAAGTTACAAGTGATCCACGTGGTTATGAAGATATAGTTACAGGTAATCCACGTGGTTTTGAAGATAAAGTTACATGTGATACACGTGGTATGTAAAATATAGGTACAGGTGATCCTCGAGGTTTGGAAGATATAATTACACGTGATCACGTCCTTTATTAGTTATAGATACAGGTCATCCACGTGGTATGAAAGATAAAGTTACAGGCGATACACGTGGTTTGGACGATATAGTTTAAGGTGATCTACGTGGTTTGTAAGATATACAGATACAGGTGATCAATGTGGTTTGTACGATAAAGTTACAAGTGATCCACGTGGTTTGAAAGATATAGTTACAGATGCTCAACGTGGTTATGAAGATATAGTTACAGGTAATCAACGTGGTTTTGAAGATTTAGTTTCATGTGATACACGTGGTATGTAACATATAGTTACAGGTGATCCACGAGGTTTGGAAGATAAAGTTACAGGTGATCACGTCCTTTATAAGTTAGAGTTACAGGTGATCCACGTGGTATGTAATATAAAGTTACAGGAGATCATCGTGTTTTGGACAATATAGTTAAAGGTGATCTACGTGGTTTGGAAGATATATAGATACAGGTGATCCATGTGGTTTGTACGATATAGTTACAGGTGATCCACGTGGTTTGAAAGATATAGTTACAGGTGATCCATGTTGTTTGTACTATAAAGTTACAGGTGAAACATGTGGTTTGTAAAATATAGGTAAAAGTGATCTACGTGGTATGTAAGATATAGTTACAGGTGATCCACGTGGATTGTAAGATATAGTTACAGGTGATCAACGTGGTTTTTAGATTTTGTTACAGGTGATCCAAGTGGTTTGGAAGATAAAATTACAGGTGGTCCATGTGGTTTGTAAGGTATAGCTACAGGTGATCTACGTGGTTTGTAAGATAGAGTTAAAGGTGATCCACGTGGTTTGGAAGATATAGTTACAGATGATCCACGTGTTTTGGAAGATATAGTCACTGGTGATGAAACCTGGATATTTAGAGACCCCTGTTCTTAAAAACCAAGTTCCCAATGGTAGTTCTGTTACCGGGGCGTTTTAAAAAGAAATCGATCTCACACTTGAAAAAATCTAGAGTTTGATGTGTCAGAAAAAACATCCATAAAGCCCTTACCTGACACCTTTTGACTTTTGGTTGTTTTCACGGGTAAAACAAATACTAGCAGGACGCCGGTTCAAATCATATCGCGGGATTGAGGTCAAACAGAATATATAAAGAAGAGAATAGTGCGGTACTCCGAACGTGGCTAGATCGTTGTAAAACGTGTTTGTGGGTAGACAGGGCATACTTTGAAAGGCTCGAATAAACAAGATTTTAGTATCTCGAACATAATCGAAAAAAGGTCCATGAGATCTCGTAGTGTTATATCTCACATTTAATTAAACGTTTCGCGTCCTGTTTTTAGTTCCATGAGTTATTCATAATATACATTTATTTGACTTTGCATGAGAGTTGGCTCAATATTTAGTCATATGGCTAAACTGTCTGACTTCAGGACTTTAATCCTCTACTCAGATCAATTATAAATCTTCCTTTTGAAACTTTAAGACAGATGTATTTTATTTTTTTAATATGGAGAAATTTGAAGTATCCTCTTAACATTGAAGTTAAAGTCTTAAATTAAGTTGCCCATGGTGACTGTAAATGAATATTATTCATACACGTATAAATGTGAGACCGTCAGATTAAATGTGCATGACCGTCAAATACTATCGTATAAGCTCAAACCATGACAAAAATCTTTAAAATAACTAACCGGCATGTCCTAGTCCACCATCTTGTTTTTTACTCTGCCAATCCGGTCCTTGAATCACTCGAATACCTGCTCGGATCTACAATACATATATCAATAATGAACTAAAATTCCAAACAGAGAAAGGGAAACGAAACTTTTTTCTAACAAATTAAATACAGTGAACTATTTACTGGTTTAACATTGTGTTATTTTCTGTGAAATATAGATTTTTTTAATGTTGCATTGTATTTGTAAAAGATACATTAGTATCGAAAACATAAGTTAATCACGGCATTCAGCTTCTTTGATTTGTTGATATGTAGTAACAGGAAGTAAAATGCCAAAGTTAAATTCTGAGAGATATGTGAATTAATCTTGTGTAGGCTAGATATTGAACATACATGTACAAAAGAGCACAATTTCTAGATTCGAAGTAAAATAAGTTGTGTAGTAGCAAACGTTTTTCCCCCCGAAAGTCCTCTGCATTATGCCGTTGGCTACCGATCTTTTACGGAAACTTCCGTAATTAAATCGGATAACCCTAGTTATAGAGGCCGTGGATGAAGAAAGTTTATCTGGCGAGGCGGAGGAATTTATTGGGTTAGCGAAAGGCGAACCCAAAAAATTCCGGAGCAGAGCCAGATAAACTTTCTCCATCCACGGCACCAATCTATTATCCTATTTATCCTGTCACGGTTTTTTTTTTAAAAAGAATTTTATTAGGCAAACTACCTTTAATCACACTATCGGAAATGTTTCTATATAAACAAAGAACACTGCGGTATACCGTACCACGCATATCGCTCGATATTATGAGGACTTTCATCCCATTTCGCGACTATGAACGTGGAAAGAAGGTAAGTTAAGTGACGATATTTAGTCATTTTGAATTGGTTTGATATAAATTTTATAGAAAAACAAATACTTCGATAATTTATCTAGTTACTGAAAACCCAAAAATGTTGAGAAATAGCTTTGAAATGTAATTAGGAGGTAAAATTCGTCTCTTTGCTCACGTGATAAATGAGCTCGGATCAGTCAAATTTGATGTTTTTGTGCATATACTGTTACGGTCTAGTGGGTCGGGGGACTTTTAAGTATGCTGGAACTGTATATTGGCACTCAGGCTTTTAAGGTATTAATGCAATCAGATACAGAACTGATGTGCTGTGTAGCTCTCCAACTCATTTGATAGTAATTAGGCAACACCGTTGTAAACAGTTATAAAATTTATTTAACAGTTAATACTTTAAATAACAATGTTTAAACAATTATGAACCATTAATATTAGTAAACAGCTCTCATAATAAGTCAAGACAGCTTACAAATAAATAATTTAGTACTGTTACGCCTTCAAAATAATATTTAGTACTGATGCACTAAAAAATCTCCGTGTTACGTGTATGAGTTTAACTCCGCGGTGACAATAGTTACCAGATTTACTTTAATAAACAGTGTAGTAAAAATACTTAAATGTTATATCATGTTAAAGTTATATAAAGTTCTAATATCAGATGTATAAAAATATTTAAGCTTTATATTTAAGTTAACTAGATATAATTCTAGTATTTAAAATAAACTTGACTTGTTTGTTACTTAAATTTAACATAAAATTTAAGATTTCAGCAGACAAATTAACGTACGTCTACTACCAAGAATTTCTAGATCTGAACTTTTTTTGTGACCAAGAATCTGCTGCTTTTATAGTAGGCAGTGGCAGAAATGACCAAAAATGGGTAAAATACCAAGAATTGGTAGAACCGACCCTGAATTGGTAGAATGGTAGCTACCCAAAAATGGTCGATACCAAATACGGGTAGAAAACTATCTACAAAAAACTGGTAGAAAACTGTCCACCAAAAACTGGTAGAAACTATCTACCAAAACCGGGTAGAAACTATTTACCAAAAACGGGTAGAAATTTATCTACCAAAAACGGGTAGAAAACTATCTACCAAAAACGGGTAAAAAACTATTTTAATTTAACCAAACAAAATGGCTAATTTTCCTAAGAAAAATTAAGACTTTAAATAAAATTTAACATTAAATATTATAATAAATAATTTACTTACCATAAAACAGGAAAAGTTACCTTAGTGTCACATAATACCGGGGTATTACAATACTTCCTTAAAAGAAAAACTTGAATCGAGCGAAATGTGATAATGATGATGATGTTTATGTTGTAAATGTTCAATCAACAATAGAACCTCAGATGATAGTGCATTTTGAGAATAAATACACATGTCAGTGTACCGAGTATTGCGTTGAAGTTGCCCGCCGGTGTCACGAGCATTGCTTTTTAGTGTAACGAGTATTGGTTATCAATATAGAGTAAATGCAAGTAGTAAACACAGAGTATTTCCTACATTTGATTTTAAATATTTCTTATTGTGTATTCTTATTTAACACTTTATGTGCAGAATATGCAGAGTTCGGAGGTACATGTACTTTACTGGAAACATCTGCGAATAATCCAGATTTTCATTCCTGCTCATGAAAAATCTCAGTCGAACGAACTCAGCAATTTTCTGTGTCGTTGCTATCGAAGGATCAACTTTTCCAGAACTTGTTAAAAATTATTGCATATCTTACTTTAAATAGTAAAAAAATACATCCAAAGTGCATTAATGCTGCCTCAAGGTTGTCAATATTAGACGGTATTGAGCAAGTGTGCCAAAATCTAATATCAACCGACTTCCTACTAAGCCAAAAATCTATATAAAGGTAACTTCACCTGCACTCTAGCAATGGCAGAACGTCTGCACGTGAATTTTGTTACGTCATTAGCAATGAGTTACCGTATGACTGCCGAGCGGGTACAGCTCAAAAAGCCGAATAATGGATTTTGATAAAATTATGATAAAGGGCAGCAGATGCAATAAAAAGGTTATGTTCCTTATAACCTTTTACCTCATAAAGGCGTGTTTTGAAGGCTTTACATCCCACCCCTTTGGGGCCTCAAATGATGTAAAACATGCGCTATTTAGGCCCTAAACACTGTTTTTTCGTTTGAGAAATGTTGTTCAAAAGAGTGATCACTTTTTCTGCGCCACCCCCATTAAAAAGATACATCAAGGGGGTGACACAGGGGGATGTGCCCCCTTCGGTTTGGGGGTTTGAAGTGGGGCAGTAGCCCCTCTAATCGCCGAGAAGATATGGGACTTGGGTGGGGGCTAAAATGGCCTCAGGTCGATTTCATGGTACCGTGTATTCAACGCCGAAAACCTTAGGCTTTATCTCAATCAATTGAGAAGTTGCTGCACCTTGAAATCAGTTTTGATGGGGAAAAAACAACGCAAAATAGAGATTTTTTTGCTCCGTTGTCATGGTAACTGGAAATTTAAAACTGAGCATGCTATTCCACAGGCTATGGTAAAGCCAACATTTGTGCTCAGTTTGATCAATATTGAAGCAATTTTTTTTATAGTTTCATAGCAGTTTGAACTTGTAACAAGTGGCTAAAAACAGCCATTTTTCGCAATGCTCATGCAGTAAAAGGTTAAGATGATACCGGCATGCTTGGACGGCATAAGCACTCTGGCCAATATTTTACTATGTGTGTGATATGTTTCTTAAGACAAACTTGCCCTGTAAAAACCTATTATTAATGTCATCTAGATATGTTTTGTTTAGAGATGGGTCTCCTTGATCACAGTTTCTTGAGACATGTATTTGAAGATTTTTATAGTCAATTTTGATGGTTCTACCCTGCTCCTGACCCTGCTTCCGACCCTGCACACACTTTATTTCATCCATAGTGTGATTTTCAATCAAATGGGAAATTAAATCTCTGCATTTGCCCGTAGGAAAAGAACAGTAATAACACCGAAAATTCATTGTTGAATCTGAAATATTTGAATAAATATTATATAAACAGTACATTATCAGCAAAATGAAATGGAATCGATAAACAGACGTGAAAATTATAACAAAAATATCGATTTTCCATACTAATGTGCTCATTCTGTTTTACAATACCCTGTACACTAAAGTTGGGCTATTTTGCAATACTCTGTACACTTAAAATCAATACTCGGTACACTTTCTTGTATCTTTTTTGGCCTGTACCTTTCTGTACTTTCACACTTTTGCCTGAAATTTGGACAAAACATACTTGGATTGTGAATAAAAAAATTGCTCGATTCAATTTTTTTTATATTGGTAATATAATAATTTCTAACGATTTTACAGTATCGCGGTCGGTATTTTCTAGTGAGCAGCGGATCGTTTAGGGGTAGTTTAATCAATTTTACAAATACCTGTAATACTTTTACGTCTTTTAGAGCTACAAAAATACCTCTAGATATTTAAAACCCGTTGAGATAAATGAAATAACCATTAGTTTGGAAAATATCGTCGCTGAACTTACCTTCGTTCCCCGTTAAAAGTCGCGAAATGGGATGAAAATCCTCATAATATCGAGCAATATCCGGGGTACGGTATACCGCAGTGAAGAAGGCCCGATACAACAATGCACTTGCCGTTCTTATTATCTCCCTGTGTATTTTCACATTGGGGACGCCATTTTGTTTGAAAAACAATTTTTTGTCGAATTTTGTTGTGAAAACTATCTAGAATGAAAGAAAATGGTCTAACTATGAAAATGAATTCGAACACCAATATCTTTTATTCATTTGTTAACGCTGTACAGACGTTTAAAGTATTGTTTACGTGACGTCACAATGTAGCGCCAAACAGCACGTGCAAAACGTTTTACATTTATTTCACTTTTTATAATTTTTATTTCGCTTGAAAAATTATAGAAACAAACAAAGTTTTATCAACGTATTCTACACACAGAGGATTTAACGACAGTTTTTTTTCATACCACTGGAACGGCCTGTAAAGAACGTTTCTATTGGAAACTCTGAGGCGAAAACAAACATAAAGTCCAACATTATAATAATAATTATATTTTTTCTTGAAAAGTAGTCCGGCAAACCACGTGATCAAGTGCCGTAGATCAGTAAAAATATACGGCACCTTGTTATCGGGCCGAAATTGATACAAGTGACAGGATAAACCTGACTATTGGCTGGGAATATTAGTATCGTCGTGCGCTTACCCGTGCACACGGTAATGCCTATATAAGGCACATTTTGGAATGTTTGGAGAATAGTTACTACGATTCTATCGAAACCTCGCACATTCGACCTTCAAATAAATTTAAGAACTTCACTGTATAACATGGAAAGGTAGAAAGTTATTAAATTGACAAATACATTTACATGTGTATATAAACTAGCTACAGTTGTTCGATTTATTTTTCCAAACATTTAATTCAAGAAAAAGTCCACTATACGATTACGGGGCATTGCCTAGACGCGGGCACTCGAACCACATCACACAAATCCCCGTCTACCACAGACGGATAGTTTTTTTTTCTTGGTAAATAACGGGAGATTGCTTTATGGAAAATAGCATAATTGGACTGTATTTTTTCTGTATGATCATCGGAGCATTATAATAGCCAGATTGTTTTTTGATTTTGATAATCAACTTGAGATTGTTTTACAAAAATGGGTGTAGCTGGCTGTTTTTAGTGCTTTTTTATATATTTTTGTCGTTTTGTGTTTTTGGTGGTGTTTTTTTTTTCTTCTTTTCTAAGGGTAATGTGTTATTGTTGTCGGGTTTGTTTTTTTCTTGATGATCACCTGAGAATTATTTGAATATAATTTAACTATAAATGAGCCGAATGCCTGTGAATTTTCTACTTTCGATTTCCGTTCACATTACATTACGTTATACACTTTCGGGTTTGAAGTCAACTTTGCAAAATAAAATGTTTAGTAAGATAATGTAACTTACATACATCTATCCAATTCCAATTCAAGAGTAATTGAAGTTAACTCTGTAAGCACAAATATAATGTCAGAGAAGCAACATGATTGTGCATGCATGAACTCTTTATCACAAATTCTTTGAAAGGAAGTTATTCAAAAAGAAACTACGACCGTTTTCGAAACCCGGAAGGTATAAAATAAATCGAACTCGACTGACGTATACTACTTTATAAACTCTAATATCGCTGTACATAATACAGCCGTGTCATTGTCTTTTGAATTAAATAAATACCATGCATCAGTACTGTTTTTTTATACTTCTCTTTATTTAAAATAAATAATATTTACAATAACATATAAGGAATCACGTGACTTTTATGGTAACGTGTACAGACAATATGGCGGCCTAAACACCTCGCTTTGAACGTGCCTTTAAGGTAATTCTTTATTATATTCCTTTAACTTGCAGTCTACGCGGAATAAAGAATTGTTGCCGCCTATACCTCATTTTCCACCCATGTGCTAATTGATTTTACAAACACTCAAATATTCAGCAGGAATTTTCAATGTTGGCAAGTATTTTGCGGGTAACATTTTATTAAGCTTTTTTTCCTTGTTAACTCGGCGTTGTTTCATCAATTACTCAAAAATACAAATTTTGCGTGAATGTTACCCGCAAAATAATTGTCCACATTTGAAAATTCCAGTTGAATATTAAAATTTGACTGTTTGTAAAATCAACTAGCGCATGGGTGGAAAATATGGTACAGGCGACAACAATTCTTTATTCCGCGTTGGCTGCAACAGGTCTCGTATGTAAGTCAAAGGAATATAATAAAGAATTACCTGAAAAGGCACGGTCGAAGCGAGGTGTTAAGGCCGCCATTTTATCTGTACGTGTTACAATGTGAAAGTCACGTGATTCCCTACCGTGGATATTGACTTAGCGCACATTATATTGGACACACTCGGCATCTCTAGCGATATTGACCTAGCTCGCAAAATATAGGACACACTCGGCATCTCTAGCGATATTGACCTAGCTCACAAAATATTGAAGACACTCGGCATCTCAAGCGATATTGACTAAGCTCACAAAATATTGGACACACTCGGCATCTCTAGCGATATTGACTAAGCTCACAAAATATTGGACACACTCGGCACCTCTAGCGATATTGACCTAGCTCACATTATATTGGACACACTTGGCATCTCAAGCGACATTGACTGAGCTCACAAAATATTGGACACACTCGGCATCTCTAGCGATATTGACTAAGCTCACAAAATATTGGACACACTCGGCATCTCTAGCGATATTGACCTAGCTCACATTATATTGGACACACTTGGCATCTCAGCGATATTGACTGAGCTCACAAAATATTGGACACACTCGGCATCTCTAGCGATATTGACTAAGCTCACATTATATTGGACACACTCGGCATCTCTAGCGATATTGATTAAGCTTACAAAATAATGGACACACTCGGCATTTCTAGCGATTTTGACTAAGCTCACAAAATATTGGACACACTCGGAATCTCTAGCGATATTAACTAAGCTCAGAAAATATTGGACACACTCGGCATCTCTAGCGATATTGACTAAGCTCACATTATATTGGACACATTCGGCATCTTAAGCGATATTGACCAAGTTCACAAAATATTGGACACACTCGGCATCTCTGGCGATATTGACTAAGCTCACAAAATATTGGACACACACGGCATCTCTAGCGATATTGACTAAGCTCCCAAAATATTGGACACACTCGGCGTCTCTAGCGATATTGACTAAGCTCACAAA